CCGCCGAATGATAACTGCCATCCACAAAAAAGTTGGAGACTATAACAATATGTCACTGCTTTTGTTGTTGACATAAAAACTACACAGTGCACAGCAAATAATGCATTGATAAAGTAAATGAAAGCTAGCCGGTCTACTTGAAGTACAGAATAGAGCTTATCAGGAAAGCCTACTTTAAATGAGTTCCAAAATGTTTACAAATTAAGATAGATAAGGCTGGCTAAACTAAACAGAGAAAACATTATTCCCATATAAATGATAACTGCTTCTATGTAAAAAATAGTAAAAATTATGTAAAGTTTATAAAATTCATTTACTTTGTTTATTTTCAAAGTAAGTTCATTGTATTCTAAATATTGCACATAACATAAAATCTCATTCTATGTATTGAACTACACAATGACACATGGAGTTGAATATTTACAATAATAATAGTCTTTTTACTCTCATATAATAAAATATAAAATACTTATAGTTATGTGACAGGTTCAAGTGCGCACATACGAATAGCTTTATATTGTTGTGAAATCAATACCCTCGTATTTTAATGTACTGTACAAATGTAATAAATTAAAATATCTGAGGACCAGAGTGCACTTTGGAATTTTTTTGCAATTTTGAAAAGTAAACTAGTGAAACTTCTAGTCATTCAAACAATCTGAAGAATTATCAACTCTCAATTAATAGTCTAGGTACACTAATGCATCTTTTGTGCAAGAATGAAAGATGTAGATAATGTGTGGATCGAATGACTTATGTTTATCTGAAAATAGCGCATGGTCATGAAATTTCATCAAAGTGCACTCTGACCTTAATGCCGTGGTCACATTTGCTCCAATTTTTACTACGGCGCCCGGCCAATTGAGTATTTTGTTAAAAATTGATTTAATTGTGAACAAAATACTCATCGGCCAGGTGCCGGTGCTGAAAATCGGAGAAAATGTGACCATGGTATAAATGAAAATGTAGTTCATAACCCCCCTATCACACCAAACTAGTTCTTACCCATTCTTGCCAGTCCTACGAAAACGTCGTAAAACGGGCTCAATCTGGCTGTGGTTGGGAAATATGTCTAAAATATTTAGCTACTTCGTTCATAAACAGTCTTCAATACGTCCATCTCATTCGCAGTTCGTTCAGGTCGCACCACGTCAGTGTGCAACGTCGTATAACGCGTCCCTTAGTCTAGAAGGTCATCATGACTTGATTACAGAACGGTATGGTCGCCATCGAATTTTGAATCGATTCAAAATTCTAAATCACATTCCCCGTCTGGGAAAGTCCATGAAGTTCGTAAACAGACCGTAGAACGTTGTAGCTACGTTCATTCTGTTCACACACGGTTTAAAACCAGTTTTGAAGAACACAGTGGCAACTTGCTTGGTGTGATAGCTATATTTTTGCTAACTCGTTGATAAATACATTCTTAATCAGTTTTAACCAGTTTGCAATTAGTTCTACCTCATTCTCAATACGCCCTCAGACAGTTCAACTCGTTGAACGTCCCTAGTAGGATTGAAGTATTACAGTTCCGTTCATAGTATGTCCAGCTCGTCGTTAGAAGGTTGTCACTCATTCTAATTGTAGAATGTGACGACCAAGAGAACATTTTGAGCATGTTCTAAGTTCTAGAGGACCTACCCGTTCGAGTATGTTCGATGAACCCAAACGGTTCTAAGTACGTCCAATCTGTTCGTACACAGTTGAAGCCCGTTTTCGAGAACGTAGTGAGAACTAGTTTGGTGTGATAGTAGGGTAACATCCACTTTTATAATGATGTAAGTACATGTTACTCTACATGTACTAACCTTGATCACTTTTATAATAATGTCAAGTTGTCAAGTCAAGTTGAACTCTAAACTAACAGAAAAGCAAATATGTAAAAAAAAAACTGCTTTCACTCACAGCAGGGTTTCCAATTCAATGCAGTGCATGGGGATTAAATACAATGCTTTATAGGGTTTTCATCTCACAAAAATATATAATACTTAGCTATTTATATGTAAGCATTTGAACCAGTCACATTATACAGTATACAAATATTGAAAAACAAATCAAAGTATTGCTCATCTTAATCTTTTCATATTAAAAAACATGACACTTTTTCTCCTGATTTCTCAACTTTCTTATACAGGGTGGTCAAGAAAATGGAAACCATTATGCTATTTTCCTCACATCTTTATCTAGGAAGTAACGCCCTGATATTTTACATATTTGTACATCATTCATTTTTCTACCAACCTCCTACATTTCATGACCATCAGACTGAAAGTCACAATATTGCAGCACTTTAATATGGTAGGGTGGTAGGAAATTGAATGATGTACAAATGTGTCAAATATCAGGTAGTAATTTCTTACAATGACAAATATGAGGAAAATGCAGGGTTTCCATATTTTGACCAGCCTATACTTAAAATTCACCTTCTGAAGCAACTATTTCAGACAACTATTATCTAGAGCAAAAATTCTGTGAGAAAAACTTTTGAAGACCAGTGTACATATCTAATAATATAGGATGAATTCATTGTGTCTGAAATATTGTTTTTCTTCAATGACAATTAGCCAATGCTATCGAGTTACTTGCTGTAGATTAAGCCCTACAGATAGAAAATAGACAGATTTATATCAATTCACTGCTATTCTGAACATCTAAGCTTCAAAGGCAGGGTTTAAATGAACATTTTTCTTCAAGTAAAAGTAATTTAAATAAGGACTTAACTACCCTTACCTCTCAAGTCTTGTAGGCACTAATAGGAGGCCTTATGCATAATGTTAATGCCTGCTCTAATATCATTGCTTTTAGCCTAAGGAACTATAGTGGGCTTTTACTGATTTTTAGACTTAATCCAAGCAAAATCTTTTTAGATGAACAAATAAATATAAAAGACAGAGCTACTTGACTATTGGATTTTTCAAGTACAAATATTCCATAAGTAGAATCATAAAGATGGCACCACTGAAAATCAAAGTACGAACTATGATACTGTATAATTACTGTATCATAAACACCTCAAATACATCTCCTGAGGCCATAATTTTCTTCAATGAAAAATATAGAAATATCACTCAAATTAAATTATGGATATTCAAAAGAGGACATTTAAATCTACAATATGTATACATATCAAAATTGTCCAAAGCAGGCGTAACATGCAGTAGACTGATGAACTTCGTTCTCCAAACTGTGAATGGTCTTTTAATCATGTACATTATTACAGTAATAGGTAATCTGTCAAGTGAAACACCTCTGTAAGTGAATGTGTGGAATACTTCAAAGTTGTGTTATAAATTATCTCAATGTATAATGAACCTCTGTAATGTTTTGGTCACATTCGCCCGGCCGATTGAGTATTCTGTTCAAAATTGAATAAAATATTGAACAAAACACTCAATCAGGCAGGCGCCGGCCGATGTATCGGAGCAAATGTGACCCAGGCATAAGTGAAGGACATCCAAAGTGGAACAGTACATACAAGTACAAAGGTGTTCCCTTTAAGCAGGTTTTACTGTATTAGAATAGTGATTCTATAGCACAAATGATGAGTAATGACCCTTCAAATGAAAATGACAAATCAACGTTTTTTGGCTAGTTTGTCTTCTAAGAACAGACCTTTTTGAGATTTTTAGCAAATTCCTTTGCTCATTATCAAATTCCTGAATTCAACCTTCTGGAAATGATCAGAAAAACCATGTGGTCATATTTTGCATCATAAATCATAGAATCTCAGTCTTATCTCTTAAAATATTGCCTTTGTCACGAAAGGTTCACTATGTCACCTTATTGAATAAAATAAGCATTTGTTCCATCATAATATAATATAATCTCCTAATGTAAAAATATGCAAACATGTACGTGTACTTAAAATCAAGGCCCTGTTACTCCAAAAATATTGTAAATCATGACTTCCTGAATTTTAAATGACTTTCACTTTATGACAAAGTTGGAAGTTTCAGGAATGATTACACACAGTTTATTTAGAAATATCAGTACTCAGAAGATAGTTTGAAACACAAGCTTAAAGGTGAAACAAAGACTTAAAATGAGTCAAGAGTAACTTGTAAAATTGAATTTCACAATAATGTTCACAACATTCCATGTCATGCCTAGCAGTTCCGACCTTTTTCATGATCATCCTTTGATATCTAAGGCTATCTGACAAACAAATTGAAAAAGTAAATGTCTACTTTTTCAATAATAAGAATTTGAACATTTCTGCATTTTAAACTTTCAATAACTTCCATATTTAATCAGATACCCTAATTCTTTGTTCCGAGTATAAAATTAGGATTGTAAAGGTAGCACCAGCATGCTCATTGAATATATTCCTTCCAGCAAAATACATTCTCAATTCTTTTCTGCCATTTTAAGTCTCGATGGTCTCTATTCATTTCTGCTACTTTAAGTCTTGATGGGCTCTATTCTTTTCTGCCACTTTAAGTCTCGATGGGCTATATTCTTTTCTGCCACTTTAAGTCTCAATGGGCTCTATTCTTTTCTGCCACTTTAAGTCACGATGGGCTCTATTCTTTTTTTGCCACTTTAAGTCTTGATGTGCTCTATTCTTTTCTGCCACTTTAAGTCTCAATGGGCTCTATTCTTTTCTGCCACTTTAAGTCTCGATGGGCTCTATTCTTTTCTGCCACTTTAAGCCTCAATGGGCTCTATTCTTTTCTGCCACTTTAAGTCTCAATGGGCTCTATTCTTTTCTGCCACTTTAAGTCACAGTGGGCTCTATTCTTTTTTGCCACTTTAAGTCTTGATGAACTCTATTCTTTTCTACCAATAAAAGTCTCGATGGGCTCTATTTTTTCTGCCACTTTAAGTCACGATGGGCTCTATTCTTTTTTGCCACTTTAAGTCTTGATGGACTCTTTTCTTTTCTGCCACTTTAAGTCTCAATGGGCTCTATTCTTTTCTGCCACTTTAAGTCACAATGGGCTGTATTCGTTTCTGCTACTTTAAGTCTCGATGGGCTATATTCTTTTCTGCCACTTTAAGTCTCAATGGGCTCTATTCTTTTCTGCCACTTTAAGTCTCGATGGGCTCTATTCTTTTCTGCCACTTTAAGCCTCAATGGGATCCTAGCAAAGTAGCTTTATGGTCCCATTGTCAGCCCCCAGTAGCAAAAGTCTGTTGAGGGGAAGCACAGCCAATGTTGTAAGTACACCTTTAAATGTGTCTGATCGTAACTTTGTGCTTGAGAATGACGCCTGAAAAACAGAAAATGAATTCTAAGATGCAGGAATACAACAAAATAACTCAAACAATTGATTTACTTGTCTACATGTTTGATCAATACATTTGCCATAAATCAAAGAATCTCGGTCTTTATTCCTTAAATGCAAAAATTCAAAATAACAATCCCTGTCAATCTACTTGAAGATAAATCCGTGGTATAATTATGCACAGAAAATAAAACAATAATGAAATTTTAAATTGATCTCTACCGAGCATAGATCCATTTGGCATCTTAGTATGTCTGCTTATTATTGCTTTATAGCAGCAAATACATTATTGACATGAGGCAAGAACATAACAAAATGGCCCCACCTGATAGGTTAATTGTAACAAAAGTGTAACAACTGTTACAAGCACCAATCAGTGACTTCCAAGTGACAACTGCCATGTTATTTTTGGAAAAATTAACATGGCTGAAACTCCCTAAATTACAAAAGGCCATAGCTTAACTGCACATTATATATAACTATTAGCCCAAGTCGGTCTCTTTTACTTATTTTGATTTATATTATGACGGGCAGTAATAATTCAAGATCAGATAAGTAAAAAATTAGGCAAGGCTACATAACTATCTGAAATATACAAAAGTTAGGCCTCGTATATATGTTTCTAATTTTTTTATATACTGTTGCAATATGGTCATTTGATTGCTTATTTTTGAAATTCAAACTACTCAATAAAATTTTGAAGTGGACTGAAGATAGGGTGGCAACCATTCATACCTGTCCATCTAATGATGTATGGACCCCAATTCTGTTCCCTGTAGTAGCTGATATAATCTCATTACGGTAGAAACTGAAACAATGTGCAGGTTCACTGTGACCTGAAATCACAAAACACAAATAATTTGAATAGATAACATCATCAATCATCTAAAATATTTAATTAAAAGAGAGAGCAATATAATACTAATATGTATTTGTACAATATTCATTTTGCAGTTTACTGTTACCTGACATGTTTATCTTATGCTATTAGTATCATTTAAGGGATGGACTTTACAACTGTCTCTAAAAAGTGATACAGCTAAAATATATATTAAAGATGATTCAATCATACTATGGACAAATACATCAGCCTATTTAGTTAATATTTTAAAATTGCCAGCTATTTCAAGAATTAAGTCCTAAACAGATTACAGTAAAACCGTCCAGTGGAGTGGAACACTTTTCAGAGTCTCCCAGCCCAGAACCTCTGTAAATGGAACACCTCAAAAGTTGGAAAATTCTCTGAGATGCCACTTATATATTTAGATACATAGTTATTTCTGTATTCTACAGCTACTGCTAGAGTATATTGATATCAAATATTGACCTTCGTGAATGTGATATTAAAGGGCCAGTATTTAATTCTAATCCTAAACTACTGAAAATATATTAAATCATTATAAAGATATGTAGCTTGTACCATCAAGAAATATTGGTATAAACCTTATTTCCATTAAGACTTAAGAAATTCTCCATCTAAAATGTCACTCGACTTTTTGGCAATTAAAAGTCCCTGCCTGTATTTAGTAGTCATATATTGTCATGTGCATAATTTTGAAACCATATCCTAATTATTTCACAAACCCTTTGTTGATTCTGCCATAGTTTCCAATTTGTAAACAGCATTTAGCCTTTTAATTGGGAACTTTTTTGAAATTTCCAAAATGGCTGCCATGTGATTCCAGAATTAACATGAGTGTGACGTGACATCACAGTTGCTCGTTCCTAGGTAACAACAAGATCACAATTGCTGGTTTCTAGATAGCAACAAGATTTTTGATAAAATGGCACAGAATTACCCTGATTAATACCCTTAAAATCCGATTTTCAAAGAATATATTTCGAGAAACAATAAAAGGTAAGTGGAATAAATTAGAAGATGGTTTCAAGTTACCACAGAAGTCAATTTGATACTCAAGAATGCTTTCTTTGACTCATAATCACAAAAAAGTCGAGTGACATTTTAGATGGAGAATTTCTTAAAATAATTCGCTTATATAGAAAGTGAATCTTGATGACAAGATCTAGTAAGTGCCTGCCGCACATACACCCCCACACCACTTCCCTTGGTCCAGCAACACAAGGCAACAACTATATAGCACTTTGAAAAAGTGCAATTAACGAAAAGACAAATGGCCTCAAAATATTCCCACACAATATTTGTTCAGTCATTAGTGATATCAGATCCTACTTGGATGCTTCAAAACATTAACTAAAATCTATATACCAATAATTGATCATCCAGAACAAAGTTCATTCAAAATTCCATGCCACCCAGTTTGGTTCATGGTTCAATACAAAGGGCATATTCAAATAATTTCTGTCAATTAAAAAACTATTGACGAAAGTTGAGGCCAGGGTCATCTCTAACCGAAGCATTACATTGTGCACCCAACTAGAACATTTTCATATACCTGACAAATCCATTGATTTGTTTTGTCTGAATAAACGGTTCATTAAATGAAACCCTTGGGACAAATTATATTTTTGCAATAATTATATATTTTAGTTCAAATTTTAAATATAAATAAAACTTGAAATGATTGAATTGGAAGTTCGGGGAACCATGTTTTAAATCATTATCTTTAGATAATAGACAATATCATTTTTTTATTGTAGGAAAAGATTATTCCGAAGCTTGTTTTATTTAAGGGGAGAATGGTGAACCTGCCACACAAACACCAAGTCACCTTTAATCCAATAATTGCTGATGTCAAAATAATTTAATTTGTGCATGTCATTTATTTAACTACATTTGGACCACGTAAACATGGAATTAAGAACAAATGTGATGATTTTTCTAGCTCTACTAGGTATGTAAAGAATACTGTATTTTTTATTAATTTTTCATTATTTCATTCTTTCCAGAATACAAACATTTCTGGTACTTCTGATTTTAATCTTTTCATATTTTTTTCTTATTCCAGATTGCAATAATGGATAAAATTCATATTCCATCCCCTCTATTAAATAACCTCTATGAATACTTTATCTGTATTACACATTATAACTGTATCTTCATTATTTATGTATGTGTACTATATATGTATGTGCATTTTGTATGTAATAAGTCCATTGTATCTGTATATGGATTAAATCTCTGCATGTCTATTATATCCATCTGTGCATTTGTATCCATATATGTACTATATGCATTTGTGCATCCATATGTTCACTCTAAATAATTTAGGTAGGTATGTGCAGCATGGCGAATTTTGGCTAAGGCCATAAAACATGGAAACTGGTTAATCTGTGAGGGAAAAAACATTGAAAATTGTCTAAGAAAGAAGGTAAATTTAACAATATTTCAGGAAATTTAGTCCCAGCAAACCATCAATCTTGAGAGGAAATTGACATGGAGAAAATGCTCAAAAGGGGTCTTTGGAGCGGCACGAGGTATTAAGAGGTATATTAGAGTGAAACCCCCAGGACTTATCCAGAGTTGCATTAAAATATGTGAGTGCATTATATATGTTTGATAATTTCATAGGTTTGCTTGGGTTGACATATGGCCAGAGTTGCTTATCTGAGGATGATTGTGATGGTCACAGGTTATGTTGTGGATGCTCAAAGATGTTCCTAGTAGAGGTAATTTAAAATTGCATACATGGGCATATCGCCCGGTACGCCTGGTACGCATAGGTGTACCAGATGGTTGCATATACACTCCAAATAAAACAAAATTTCAAAATTTTCTGGGGGTAATAGGCTTGCACCCACTTAAAAATGAATAAAATCATGAAAAATGGGCATATTTTGACCAATTTTGGTCTGAATTATGAAATTGAGAATTTTGCACCCACTTGAGAAAAAATCCTGTGAAGATCACTGTATAGCAAATACTATTATAGTAGCTCTCTCACATTATTGCACCATTCTCTCCCCTCTCTTGAAGGACATTCATTTTGCTTGTTATTTAGGGCCAGCCATTCTATCCAGCCCTTGCATTACGGAAATCTCCTGATTGCATGGATGAGTCTTGTTTAAGTCAGCAGTGTAAAGATATCACTATGAAAATCCACAAAAGTAAGCTCAGGGCAAAACCACCAAAAAATGAGGTAGATAAACCTGAGACACCAAAAAAGCCTGAGACACCAAAAAAGCCTGAGACACCAAAAAAGCCTGAGACACCAACAGAGCCTGAGAATGAGATATCCAGTAAGTGCTTACATGAAGAAGCTTAGTATGTTTAGGTACAACCTAGATCTTCTGGGGATTGACCAGAGTACTTTATACACATTATAAAATCACCTTCTGTGAGGGATACATGGCTCCAAAGTTCTTGATAGTAAATCGGGACTATCAATATACTTGGAGCCATCGTGCACTGAAATTTATGAGAGAAACAAACAAGGTTCAATAATAGGCTCTTCCCAAAGATACATGTACATGTTCTTGTCACAAGTACAAATTTTATAGCTAATATAAAGCAAGTTGGAAGTTCACATTAGCTATCTTCAATCAAAATTATATGAACATGAATAAACTGAGTTTCCAGTCAGTGCCTCTATATTTTCCTTATTTTCCTTCAGCATGCCCCCCTCCTCCAAAACCAAAGAAGAAAACTGGGATAGAGATGGAAATAGACTCAGACAACTACCCAGAGGAATCAGTGATAACATTCACATGTAATAAAAAGTTTAAGCTAGAAGGAGATGGTACCATGATGTGTCAACAGGGAGAGTGGAAAGTCGATGGCGAATGTGTTAAAAAATCTGGTGGTAAAGGGAAAAATAAACCAAAAAAGAATAAGAAAAAGGATCAAGGTTGAGAGTTAAATGTAGAACAAATATGATATGTTCATACAATTAAATCATAATAATTTGAACTGTTTGAAAAATTTGATTATGTGCCTTTCTTACCTCTAAAATGACACACTAGTTTTCCATCATCTATATTCCACAATGACATTGCTTGGTCGAACGATGATGTCACAAACAGATTGTTGTTAAAAGCTTTGATCTGGAAAAATATGACGTGAAATCAAACATAACTTATGCATGATAAAACATTTAACAGATCTATATTGATCAACAATTAATATACCTAATCTCCAATAATAACAACATTTAACATCAAGCTGCCTTTATCTGGTTATAAGCCACTTATCCTTTCCTTTACTAAATTAATCAATTGCATTGCAAAGGACAGACTGAGCCCTGGTAAAGTCTAACTGCAAACAACTGTAGCACATTAGAAACAAGGCATTGCCATTAACATTCAAAATGTCACCACCTGCCATTTATTACAGACACCCAATTCCAAAAACCAACCAATGCCACAAAAAAGTATGAGACTTTAACAATATGACACCACTCGTGGCGGTGACGTAGAAAACAAAGACTCCATAGATACCTGTAATATTTCTCCTTCATGTCCCTTCCAAGTTCTCAACAGCTCCCCTGTCCGGGCGTCTAACATGGAGATTATTCCTGATGAATAGCCTACAGCTATAATATTGCTGTCAGGGGAGACTGTTACACAGCGTATCAAGCCAGCCGCCCCTGTTGTACACTTGAACTCATGCATATAGCTCCCAGTTCGCACATCCAGGAATCTATAATCACATGATTTCAACATTTCTTAAAATCATTCTTTTGCTCAGTGTTTGATAAATCCATAAATTCATCATTCCTGTACTGAACTGTGCCATTGGTTTGTGCTCATTATTTATTTCATATATCTACTGAAGGTGCATCAACAAAAATACACACGCCTATAATACATCATTCCAATACAAACTCGAAAAACACCACATATCTCATACATTAATTTTCAATTCACAATTCTTTAATTAGAAAGATGAATTTTGATATATTATTTAAACTATGTAAAGACAACAATGTACTTCTTTTAGCCCATATCAATTTCCAGAATCTTTTAATCTATCAGATAGTAATTTGTAATCAAGTGCAATCAAGCGCAACACATATCGCATAAACCCCCCCTCCTCAATGCCACTTCCCCCTTTAACCCCCTCCTCTTGCTACTTTACCAATATCTACCTGAGGGTGGCATCCGTAGTAGCCGTTATAAGAGTAGTGCTAGGGGCAGGCATAGGTGTCAGCACTGTCACAGGACTATTCTTGGCTGACTCTAATTGCCTAATACAACGCCCTGTATATGGATCCCAAATCTGAAAGTGAAAGATGGTTCATGATCAGACCTTAGATTTCCACAGTTAAAGAAATTGGCATTCAGTCCAGTCCATTGCCCAATAAGCAACAAGTCAAATACAAGTCCATTGCCAAGAGGGAAAAGTGATTGCCACTGGCAGTCAGGTAGCTGTAAGTTTTGAGCCCTTGAACTTATATAAAATGGATTAATCATGCTGTGCTCAATATGTTCAAGCTCACCTTCCTCTGCAGATTATTAATATAATATTAAATAAAGTGTACCATAAACTTACATGTACAATGCTATCACAGGATGCTGCCAGTCGCAGTGGCTCCAGAAATGTTACAGAGAACACAGATTTTTTGTGCAGATTGTACGTCCACTGGCACCCCCCTCTCTCTCCCCCACCCCCTGAGTTTCGCAGGGACCACAGCTTCACTGTTTTATCCTTACTGGCCGTGATAAATGAGTTTTCATTATCTAATGGATAGATGGCTCTGATGCTATTAGTGTGCCCTAAATATTATAAAGAATATGATTGTATATTAGATTATAGATTCATTAAGACTTGAATTGAATTTCTCTTATGGTTTAATTCATGAATTTTACATGTCAGAAATTAATATTGATATCTTATTGTGAATTTATCAACACACAAAATACTTGAAAATTCATTCATTAATTTCCAGTACGTTTGTAATTTTTATAAATTCATCAATCATTTTCAGAATTTTGATTGCTAAATGAAAATAATGCAAATAAATAGAAATATTAAGCATTGTTTACCTGAGTATGTTTGAAGTTTGATTTGTTTAAAATTAAACAAAGTTTCTCTTTCACTAAGCCCCAGTTCATGTTCCCAGTATGCCAGCCAGTTGCCCTTGAGGTGACGCCGCTTGTTCATCACCATATCGGGGCTACAAACATCAATTTGCACATACATTATTAAAGCACCCATTATTCATTTATCATACACGACCACATGAAAAGAGCACAAATAATTTTTCTAGAAAGGAAATTACAAAAATGTCTGCTGAAATAAACCAATGAAAATCTTGTTATGTACTTGTACACGTATAAGCATTTGTTTTGTGTTGTTAACATATTTTCTCCTCAAAGGTCAGCATATTTTCTTTCTACCATGTGTAAAAATTTGAAGTAATTCCACTTAGTTAACCTCCAAATGGCTGCCAGAAATCAAGATGGCAGCTGAAAAGTTAATCAGCTCTAAAAATTCTTACCATTTAAGCCTAGTGTAGTCAATCTTAGATAATGGATCTGGAGGTTTCTTTTTGTTAGATACATTGACTGAGGCATCAGGTTCGGGGTCCACATCAAGTACAAGTCTATTGCCCTGGATTGAACTACCAAATGTCCCTACATCTTCTGTAGCTTCAGCTACATCAGCATCTGGAGTTAGAACATGGTGTGATATAATTAGACAAGGCATTAACATGACAAAATGTCACCACCTACAATGTAGTTGCTCACAATATTATGAGTTCAATCTTAAGTCAGATTTGAATTTCTGAGAATTTGTAGAAGATTTTGAAAAAATAAATTGGTCAATTTGAAGCAAGTTGAAAAAAGGCCTTTTTTGACGCTGAGAAGGTCATTGAAGGTGAAATCTCATATCTAAAGTCAGATTTGAACTTCTACGAACTTGTAGATGATTTTGAAAAAAAAAATTGGTCAATTGAAGTAAGATGAAAAAATACCTTTTTGACCTTGACGATGTCATTGAAGGTCAAATCTATAGTCTGAGAACTTGTAGATGATTTTGAAAAAAAATTGGGCAATTTGAAGTTAGTTGAAAAAATACCTTTTTGACCTTTTTTGACCTTGAGAAGGTCATTGAAGGTTTAATCTTAAATGTAAAGTCAGATTTGAACTTTTGAAAACTTGTACATGATTTTGAAAAATATTGAAGTCAGTCTAAACAGTATTTGTTAAGTTATTGGAAGTTGTAAGAATTTGTTACAGACGCCGATCGTCGACCACCAACCACCGACCGCCAACCGATGTAAAAAAAAACATAAGACCATAACAACTCCACACAGTAGAAGCAAATCCCACCAAAGAAATGTGGTTTCCAAATTAATCTCTTCTTATTTTGAACATTTCATTATGGGTATACTCAAGCAATATTATGGTCTCCTTTTTGGCAAAAACTATGCCCATCACATAAAACTTAAATTGGGCATATTTGTTCAAGCAAAAGCCTTCAATATATTTTACCATGGTATAAAAGAGTAAAAATAAATGATTTGATGCTTTCACCTATATTTATATTTGACTTATTTAAAAAAAAATGAAATGTAAATTACCCGCTGTTGTATTTCAAGTGGATACACTCAAGTGGATACAAGTATGCACAAGTATTTTATGAGAAATGAGCCCATACTCCAAACCTCCCATTGAATAACATTTTTACTTACCTTGTGAGGGCAGCTGCACAAACCATGAAGTCTGACCTGGTGCTGGGAGTAAACCACCTGAATTAAAAAAAAAAGTTATTTCCTAATTCTATTTCTATGTCAAAATGACTTCATCATTTTTTCTATTTATTTATTAAAATCATATGAACATATTTACAAAACAGTAATAAAGACACTCCAGGGGGTGTATGGCTTATCACAGGCTAAAATATTTAGAATGGCATGATAATAGAATGTTAACCCCCCGTGCATCTGTATATACACAGTTAGTCAGTCAGTAAGTTAGTAAGTCAAATGGGCCTCCATTCATTGGTTATGTGGTACATTAGAAGATGGTCTATATTTTCTTACTAGCTAAGCTACTCAGAGATCATAGAATACTCTCTAGATATATGTCATCGTCAGATGTGCATATTTGAATACACCTAACAGGCCCGTAGCCAGGATTTGCCAGGGGGGGTTCAGTTTTCAAAAATTTCCAGAGGGGGGTTCACATTTGACAATTTTGTGAACCCTGCGAACCCCCCTACGGGCCTGCCTCACTTATACAAGCTATCAGATGTGCATATTTGTATACTGCTAAACTATATACCTTCATGCAGTACATTGTTGGGGTCCTTCTTTTCTCCCTCTTCCTTCACCTCACTTGAGTCATTTTCTGCTTGCTTAGTGAGGGCCTCATCATGGAGGGCAACCAGTTGACGTATCAGATTGTCATTGGTCAGTGTGGCTTCCATATGAATTCTGATGTAACAAGACATTTCATATATGTATAGGTATATGAATATACAATAGATAAGACAGTGGATACACTATCATTCTCTGCTTGTTTACTGAGGCCATAGTCCTTTTATTTAGGCTAACCATGATGTGTAAGGATTGCACTGTGGTCTGAATTTGTGATGGGTCCTGATATAATATTACATCATTTATTCTTATTTTCACACAATCAAGGTATGCAAGCTATTCTGTACTTGGTAGCACTATAGATATATGAGATGTTCAGAGTTCCCCTAAACCAAATGAACTTATCCCCAGTAAATAATATATTCATATGCAAAATCATGTTAAGGAAATACACCCGTACACCATATACATGCTAGAGTACGAATATAAGAAGGCATTAACATCCAAAATGTCACCACCTGCCATTTCTTACAGACACCAATGGCCGAATGCCAAACACCAACTGCCAAACATAAAACTCCATTTGCCGAACACCATTCACAAAAAAAAGTTGGAGACTATAACAATATGTCACCACTTCTGGTGGTGACGTAATAATATTAAAATTCATTATTTGTCTTACCCTCCTGCTAGTTTACAGAATGGTATGTAGGCGATATGTGCCAATTCGGGAGTGAAACACTCTGAAAGCTCTTCCTTTATCCTCCCTGAGTCAGCAACCACATCTACAGAGTCTAATTCTGAAACAAAACCAGGCTTCAGAGCTAATCTTAACAAGACATTAACATGCAAAATGTCACCACCTGCCATTTGGGACTGACGCCAAATGCCAACCACCAAACATCACCCACCGAAAATGAAATGCCAAAGACCATGCACAAAAAACTAGACTATAACAATATGTCAAACTTCTGGTGGTCCCATAAAAACATGTTTACCATTTTTCTCTTTATATTCTTCAATATTTCAAAAATTCCATTTCAAACCTTCGAGGTATTACCAATAAATTAAACCTTGAACATTTTAATTTCTTAATAATTATATGATAATGCATATTTGATGTACCGTACCAGTAAACCTTTACCTTTGCAGACTCTGAAACTGTTCAAACAATCATATCTGACTGTTATGCATTGTCTAGAAATAAGCAGCAACAACTAAAATCCTAATCTAATTTTGATAATACTTTAATAATTAAATTACATATTCTGAATTGCATAGTTTTACTGGTCATTTTTGAAGTTACCTCTGTCTTCTGCGATTGGTGGAGAGAGGCTATATCTGAATGATGATTGGCTGCTGGTACTGGCCATCATCCAATCAACTTTCACTGGAGTCCCTATCTTGTATTCTTGTGTATAACTGTCCTTTTTGATCTGACAGTACATGTTCTCATCTGTTGAGTCCAACAGTGAACCTAAAACAAGCCGACAGCAATAAAGCATTTTTTCAAAGTGCGATAAAAAGCACTGGCGAATCTTGGGGGGCCAAAGAAATGCCTTAAGGCCCCAAAAAGTGGGCCGTTTTGGTCATTACTGGGCCTTCTAAGGCCTTATTTTTTAATTTCAGGCCAAATTTTGAAGAAAATGGGCCTCAAAATTTCAAAATTTGGGCCCACTTTTGGGTTTCAGGGGCCCGAAACTTTTTTACGTGCAAGCCCGAAGTTTTTTTTCTCTGACCTGACATTTGGGCCCCCCTTGTTGGTTCCCAGATCCGCAGACAACAATTACTCAGATGCGAGTAGGTAGTTACCAGTTTTGTCACCAGGTGGCTGATTCGGGGGAATTAACATGGCAGGGTATTACAAAGTTCCCTTAAACTTGAATATGCATCAGTTTTAGTGGTTCACTTTTCATATTACCCTTACGTATCTGATAGTTATACAAATTAAAATATGTCCAGTAAAAGAAAATATTATCTGCCCAACACAAGAAAAGATATTTCACCTTTTGTGAATGTGAATGCATGTTCTGACAGTTCCACAGAAACAGTCCCCAGTTAATTAAGACAGTTAAGTCTTCGTGTATGAATATAAAAGGTACTTGGTGAAGTGGTATGACTATACCAATGACCGTAGCCTGGGGGTTCGGGCTAAAAAAAATTCTTTCAAAATCATGCAGATTTGTGATTTTGGCCATTGTCAAAAGTGAACCCCCCTGGAATTTTTAAAAAGTGAGCCCCCTTGGCAAATCCTGGCTAGGAGCCTGATACCTGTATAAAAGCCCAAAGAGCGTAGTTGAATGCCTGTGAACCATTGCATAATTTTAAAGAATGCAGGGTCCCTTCAAGTAGGGTTTTTAGAGATCAAACACATACATGTTCATTCTTTGTTCTGGATCCATACATTATCAATATAACTGACTTACTACTACTTTTGTTCTGTCTCAGTTTAGTTCCTGGATCCTGTCCCTCAGATGCCATCTCAACATGAACACGTTCAAATGATGCAAAAAACAACTTCAAGATTGGAGACATGAATTTACGAGTCATTTCAAAGCTGATCCTGAGGCCTATGATATATAGGATGTCGAGGACCTTGTAGCAGATGACAGTGCGGGCAATGGCTCCACTTGGGAAGCTGTGCTGTTGAGAGGAGGCAAGCTTCAGTAGAGGAGCAAGCATGTCCTCAAATATAGGACCCTGGAAAATATGGGGTACAAGATACAGTACCTGTACTTTCTAAATGTACTTCATGTACCTTATAGTGGTAGATTACTGCATATAAGTGAAAGGGAAAGTTGTGTGCATTTCTAGCCATATTTAGCCTTTATATAAAAAATATAATAATCATAATATAAGGGTATCTCCTTTATTCGAATTGGCATTCATCAATACAATACACAACTAAATCATATATAATCTAAAACACCAAAGAGACACATGAAAACAATCACAAACATTTTCACAGTTATTTTGATTCTTCATATGTAAATAAATAATTTTTTATAAATTAAACCTGGACTTTGTCATGTGACTGACCTTCAGATTGTCCATGAGTGTTGTATCAGTAAGATATGGCACTAGGTAGTGTATGAGGGCTGCACATCCAATCAGTCCACCCTCAGCCCTCACTGTGAGCCTCTTTGTGGAAGATGCGATCTAAATGGTGAAGAATTTACAATACATGTAGTTAAGGACCTTTAGGCGTTATTGGGTAATTTCAATATTTTGAGTTCAAGTTAATGATTTTCTCTGGGCGAAGAATTTACAATACATGTAGTTATGGACCATTAGGTGTTATTGGGTAATTTCAATATTTTGAGTTCAAGTTAATAATTTTCTCTGGGAGAAGAATTTACAATACATGTAGTTAAGGACCTTTAGGCGTTATTGGGTAATTTCAATATTTTGAGTTCAAGTTAATAATTTTCTCTGGGAGAAGAATTTACAATACATGTAGTTAAGGACCATTAGGCATTATTGGGTAATTTCAATATTTTGAGTTCAAGTTAATAATTTCCTCTGAGAGAAGAATTTACAATACATGTAGTTAAGGACCTTTAGGCGTTATTGGGTAATTTCAATATTTTGAGTTCAAGTTAAAGGCCCCGTATAAAGTTTAAACCACTTTGGCTTATATTGTAGTCTTACCCAATGTTATCAAAGTGTGATATGTGAAACTTTTTTTTTAAATTTCAAAAAGTGGTTTTTGATAGACTTTTTGTTCCAAAATTTGTGATTTTATTTAAAACCAACTTTTAAAGGTCACTCATATATTCTAATTAGCCACAATTCATACCAATGCATAGCAGTCATCCTCCCATGTTTTTTGCCGAAAAAATTAAGAAAATCGGTTCATAAATAAGCGAGAAATGAACTTATCAGTACATGAAAATGGTTCTGAGAAAAATCCATTTCAAAATTTTAGTTCTCATAGAAACCAATGGTACAATGATATCTAAAACATAAGTTAGTCTTCCTTTTAACCTGGTTAGACAATCAACATTGTTTTTTTATGAAAGTCTAGCATATTTAGAAAAGATTGACATTGAAAAAAAAATTTCAATTTTTTTCAAAAAGTTTTTGGTACCTTAGTGACATCACTAATGTTTCAAAATATTTTTGATATGTTTAAACATTGAAGTGGCCCATTAGATATAGCATTTTATTATTGAAATAGTGTGTCCTTTGTTCAATCTTTGCATTGGTGTTAAAAAGACAATATTTTTTTAAATGCATTAAGAAATATTTGATGATTAAGAAATTTCAACTTTTTTTGAAAAATGGCGGGAAATTTGAATATTTGAGAAATGAAATGCTCACAACTTTTTTTTCAAAAAATATTGTTTTTCAAAAACCTTTAAAATCACTTTTTAAGTCCTGACAAATAGTAAATGAATGATAAAAAAATATTTTCAAACTTTAGATGGGGACTTTAATAATTTTCTCTGAGAGAAGAATTTACAATACATGTAATTGAGGACCATTAGGCATTATTGGGTAATTTCAATATTTTGAGTACTACTTTACCATTTTCTCTAAGAAATCTAAATTTAATCCAAAATTCTGATTTATCAACTTGGATAATGAAATAACAAAATACCCCAGATCCCAAATTTTCAAATTTTTCCAAACCGGCTACAACTACAGTTGTTGTATGTCATTTTCTTTTTAGTGCAGCGCCTACTTGTATGTCATTTTCTTTTGAGTGCAGTGCCTATTAATCTCAGTGCTAGGAGATCACTAGCCGACTCACCACATCTACTATGTGAGGAAAGTACTGCAGTAATATAACATGTTCTCCATACAACACAGCTATTCCAGTGAGACACTTCAACACATTGGCAACATGAACATCTCCTGAAACTTCCTTCTTACTACAAGATACACCACCATCATCTGTAAATATAAACAATAAGTTAACAGTGAAATTAAGAAAGGAATAGAAGTTTTCAATATCAGGATGAATACATGTAGCTAGCCTTGCCCAAGTCGGTATTTTTTACTTATCTGATCTTGAATTATTACCGCCTTGTACAATCCAAAACAACTCCGCTGCTATTATGCTGAGATATTCAACGGTTTCGAGATTTCCATAATACCTACGCTATCAGGGGTATCGCGAAACCTTATTGATTAACAGATATACGCGTGGACACGACGTGTGACTTCAGGCTGATTGACCAATCAAGACGTTATCAGGTTGAGCTGCACAGCAAAGCAATCTTCCCGTCTACGACTTGAAATTCAATGATCTGATCGATCGTTTCTTTAGAGTTACAATATATTATGTAATTAAATGTACATAGGGAATGTAAGAGTCATTAATATAAATTAAATCATGCAATAGATTTAAAACTGATCTAGCGATGAAAATGCAAGACCTAGTCCAATGTAGCGGGTCATGTAGTCGTCGATCAGTGATTGAATCTAAGCCTACATGTTCATTTGAATTCAGCGATCGTTTCAACGTTTATTGTTGAAATCTTATAACCTCCGGTGACAGATCGATGTCTAGCATCCACTTAACTCTGATTGATATTTATCTGATAAAATATTTGTATTTTCATGATGAATTCATGCAAGATTTGTTCGTGAAACGTCCCGACGAAAAGTGAACTTGTTTTTGACCGTGCATAATAATGAGCTAGCGCTGCAGGGCCGTCGTTGATTGGTCAAATTTTACCAACATAAACATTGAGTCGGTAAAGCACGTGGCTTTCTCTTTTGTACAAGGCGGTCATAATAGAAATCAGATAGTAAAAGAGACCGACTTGGGCAAGGCTAACATGTAGCTTACAACCATAAAATGATGAAGCATTTTAACGGCTGAAGTTTTCAACGACTTCTTTGTTTGGTCACATGTATGTAACTCAAATACAATTATGGAAATGACATTACATTACAATGATCAAGATGAGTGACACACAGCAAATGGACAACATCTATGCTTCATTTGGAATAGAAACTATAGAAAGCTTCTATGGAATCTTAGCTCAATTCATATTTCATTTTTAGAATTTAAACTCCTCCCACATTTCATCTGAGCAGCCCCTTAGCTGTTCAGATAACATTCTCCTTTGCTAGAGCACTTTTCAAGATATCATTTCCATTGAATTTCCGAATGGAATTTTCAACTGCCAGACTCTTGACTTAGCTTTGGCAGGAGTTCAATCAGTCCTTTAGATGCAAAGATAACCTTTTCCTTTGCGAGAGCACATTTCAAGATATCATTTGATGCTAAGTCTGGTTGTCTATCTATTGTATCTGAATTTATGATAATAAAATTGAGTCATAATAAAAAAAGTACCTGTTGTTATATTTGTACATTGCATCTGTTCCTGGCCAAGATAACAGAGACCAAGCATACGTAGAAGATTACGTGATAAGTACTTTGTCGCTAACACCGGTCCCAATCTATGGGCTAGCCACATGACACTCTCCATGGCAACGTCACTAATGTTGTATTCCATTGTCCCCAATGACTGGTAGAATTCTTCAGTCTCACTCCGAGGCATTCGCTGGGGGATACCTGTGTCAGAACTGTCTGTTTCACTTGGCCTGGGGGTTGCTACGTCACTGCTGCTGTTGCCCAATGGATCTTCAACTTCAGAACTCCCTTAAAAATCATTACACTAAGGCAGTAGTAATTTAAATGTATAGTGCACATGCAGTATAAATATGAACACTGAGATATCATTTTGTATTTGGGTTTTTATTTTTGTTATTATTTTTGTTACTTTTTGTCTTATGTACTTATAGAATACCTTACGTGTTGATATATCCACTTTTTATACAATACATACATACAAAATACCAGTGATAACATTAACCAGCTCTGTATGGAAAACATTTTGTATTAACTGATAGCTATTTAAACAAAATGTATAGTAATCCAATAAATATAGTATTACAACAAATGTATGTGTTGCATTTTGTTCAAATATTGACCAAGCATGTCAATTTATAGATGGTCTGTAGATGGTTCCATATCTACAGTCAAACATATTTACTGACATAATGGTTCTGACTTACCTACAGATGCAGTTCTCTGACGATCCATTAATCTAGAGAGACTATGTACTGATGTAAGACCCAGACTTTTCCCTAAGGCTTCATCTGTAGGCTCATCACCACATTCCTCCTCAATACTAACATCATCTTCTCTCTCAGCATCCTCGATAATATCACTTTCAAGTCTGTCAATTGACACTTTCCCAACACTACAGGAATCACTAGAGGAATGGTCAGGTTTTGTTGAGCTATCTGTATCCCCATCAATATTGTCCATATTGAACACTTCACCAGATTTCTCAAGAGGGTCATCAACATCGATGATATCATCATTCGTTTCATCCTTATCAATATCATCACTGGAATTAATGTCTGGTTGGTTAATACTGGAGTTACGGATGTTAAGATCGGCACTTTCTAGGCGTTCATATTGTTCATTGGCTGCAAGGGTAAAGTTCTTATACCCAGCTGTGGCCTCAACGAGTGACGTAGAGAAGTTAGTGAGGAATGTGTTGAGGCCGAGTCTGATGATAGCCTGCAGCAGGAAGCTCCTGTGATAGAGCTTAATATGTTTAGGTGAGGTAGGATCAGCGTTGAAAATATCAGCGAACACTGGCAGGAGCATCTTTGATGTCATCTTAGGGCCAAGAGATTGGGAAATGGGTCCAAATAGGGACCACATGGCTTGGATAGTTGTGAATTTATCCGTGAAAAGCTTCATTATGAATGGCATTATTAACTCCACTGACTCTTGGTTTAACTTTGGCAAAAGTTCAATCAGTCCCTTAGCTGCACAGATAACCTTTTCCTTTGCTAGAGCTTTAACATTGGCCACTTCACCAGGGAGACCATCCAGTGCAGCTAGCTGTATATCATACACATGTAACTGACTGAACAGAGTGTACAAGTCAGGGAAGTAGGCAGGGAATGGTAGGATGGACACTAAAGGGTGGAGAAGGAGCCTTGGAGTGGGAGGGGGTAGTCCATGGTTGGATACAGGTTCATAGTTGAAGAGTAGTCCTGTAGCACTTGGGCCATCTATTGTATGGCTTGCTGCATTGTCTTTGTCTAACTGAAGCAGCCATTTAAGAGCACATCTAAATGGCCTGGAACATACACACAAAACATCTTAGACGAGACTGAATAAAATTAAATTGTCAATCTACATAAAAATATTCTGAAAATATTCAAGAATGACATCTTACATGTAAAAATTTAACTTCAAACCAAAAGACATGCATGTTTATTGCACTTGCACATACAAAACAACACTCCAATAATTTATTACCTTTTTCTTGTTTTATTCATTCTTCTACAATTTTTTACATTTGCATAAATCAGCTCAACGTTCTACTTTGCACATTATAAGTATAAGTACCCATTTTTCAAATTAGTTATTAATCTTAGCTTATAAATTAAAATACTTCATGTTAATTGTGAAAATCAAAGGATGACATTATAAAGTCTAAATGTATATTGATACAAACACAGTATCTTTTAGGATAGGAAATTCCCTTTAAAGTGGCAGTCAACAGTATTACCAGTCCACCTCTGTAGGGGTCAACAATTGCACACAGTATCTGCTACAAATCATATGTATTACATTAAAAAGAATCAAGAACAAGCGACAAGGTTGGACAGGCACTACCAGGCACTTACTCACCTTGGAACATCAGAGAAATCTTTTCTCAGGTGTTTACAGACAACACGATAGCGGTGCTCTAATGGTGCATCCTGACTCATCCCCCTCAGCTTCGGGGCAAAGAACATCTCAGCCATGACACAACCAATCACCTGCATATCTCTGCTCTCACGTATGTCTCTCAGATCTGTTTGTGGATCCTACAAATATATAAGAGATCGGTGTCCTATTGTCAATAGTTGAGCAAAGGTGAATAGAAGTATTTTCAAAGAGGGTGGGGGATAAAGGAGATTTTGTTAATGGAAATGTTGACTTTTAAGCTGGGAATGACAAATCACTATTTCTAAATGTTTTTGAAGGGGGGAGAAGGGTTAGAGGATAACTTTAACCTCTTTTCCACAATACTCAACCTTTGAACAATAACTAAATGAAGTACATACATGTGCTAGTTTAAGGTAATGGTATTTTTAAACATTTTTTCATACCAAATTGTCAACCTAAATTGTACAAAAAAACTTATTCTTCAAATAAAACTGAGAAAATTTAAGTAGGGTATTAAAAAATCCACAATGCTGGACTGAACATATTTATTGACTAGGGACAACATACAAATCAATATTATGCCAGAGATTAATAGGGGTTTTGGATTACTTTGATTATAAAATATTGCTCTTTCTGCTTTTTCTTACAGTATTAAATTGAAATAGGTCATACTTCTAATTGTTCTTGATTAGGAAGCTCAAGATTGGTTCTAAGGCTGAATTTGTACTCTGATTCTAACTGTTCCAGTTCTGCCAGAGGTTTCCAATCTTTAGGCAGGGTCACTATTCCACCTGTTGTCTCCTTTGTTTTGTTCACACCATTCACATTACTCACACCAATTGGATCACCATGGTTTATGTTGCTCACACTGAAATGAAATAAATACTTATTGACTTCAATAAACCATAAATAAAGGACTCACGGTCCTGTGCTCACACAGTGTAGTGGATATGCATAAAATGAATGTGGATATGACTCAATCCGAATAGCAATTTTAATTTGTGCGGCCAATGTTGACGGACGGACCAACAGACGGATGGACTGACGGACGGATGGACCAACGGACGGATGGACGCCTGGTCGATCCCATAGGCTCACTGTGTGAGCCAAAAAGCATATACCATAATCCTTAACATCCAGCTAAAAATAGTATATAGGGTGGGCCAATAAAAATTGGACAGCGGACACTCACCTATATTCTTGTTTAAAGAGTGTATTTAGAGTCATGCTGTGAGACTTGGAAGAACTAGACTATCAACAGACATTTGAAAGAGTCAAAAGTTATGAGTAACCTGTGTTTAAAATATGGTTGCTATGGTAACTGTTGATTGGGTACTTGACGTACACTTAAAATTTACATAAAATGCTATTTTTCGTATCAGTGTCAACCACATCACAAGGCATCAACCAACATACAAAATGTCATCACCTGCCATTTGTTACATTTGCTACAGCTGAACACCAACCACCAACTGCCATCCACAAAAAAGTTGAAGAATACAGTATAACAATGTGTCATAACTTCTGGTGGTGACATAAAAATGGTAAAGAAGAAGTCTCATCTTTTGTTTATAAGTTCAATTTAGACTAATTCTAAGTATCAGGTTAACACTTTGAACCCATAAATGTATTGATATCATCTGTGATACAAGGTGTAGCATCATCAGACCCATCAGTGACATGATAAAATGTTTGAAGATGTGACTTATTTCCTCACAATTGGACCCAAGGTTTCCGACAGGTCAACCTTGTATTATATGATTAAGATTGATATTTATTGCATGTTTGTGTTTGGAGTCAACATGACACAACTGTAAAATCAAAACTCAATATTAAAGGGACTCTCCAAAAAACTCCAGCCTCAGTTTGAACTGAACAAGGGTAACCCCCTTATTAGTTAAAAAATACCAAGAAACAGACTGTATAAAGTGTAAAAGCAATATCGACTTAAAACAGTAATACAAAGTTTACTACACCAACATATATTACTGGTAAGTGCATGAATATTTGAAAAATCTTTGGAGGGTGTCAGTTTTGTCATCATATGCTTTTGAGCTATACTATATGAGGTTGTAAAAAGAAAGTAATTTGAATCACCTACGCATGTTATTTTCTTGTACAAAATAAAGTATGAAGGCATGTGTGTATTTCCTTGCTTTTTTCAGGAAAGTATCCTTGCAATGTCTTCTTTTAGTAAACCTGGTGACAGGTCAATGACAACTCCAGGAAATGCTGATATTTCAAGAAAAATCATTCAAAATGGCCACCTTTCCAAATTTCCAAATTTCTTCTCCAAGTTTCTCGGTAACACTGGATTTCCATTGACCACTTACTAAGTTTACTTAGAGAAGACAATGTAATGATACTTTCCTGAAAAAAGCAAGGAAATACACACATGCCTTCATGCTTTATTTTGTACGAGAAAATAACATGTGCAGGTATAGCATTTTTTCAAAAATGTTGTTTGGAAAGAATAACCTTAATGCATGATTAATACTGATTAGTACTCATGAAAACTCCATCCTGTAGAGATACTGGATGGACATCTACACTGGTCAGTCTGGTCTACCTCAACTTAAGTGTAATTTTCTGCATGCTGTTATTTACCCTCTGGGACCCCTTTCATGCATTTTCCGTGTCCGGTATTTTCTAATTACCACCAAAGGCAAGGATAGCTCCGAACAACAAAAGGAAGGGGAACTACATAATTTCACAATATGACACAAATGGTATATCACATCAGATGTGCAAAGCTTGATGGTTGCTTCAGGTCATCCTTTAAATTAAAAGATTATACATTTTTTCATATTTTTCCTACAAGATCACTGTAGAAAAATGCTCCAAAAACAACTTTTACACTTATCAAATGTCATACAACTTTGTAAATCCAAAGATAATACTATTACATTTCATTGATTAATAACATATTTGGATAAGATGGAGGGATGCAGAGGATGCAAATGGATTTTGACAGACACAAAAACAGACACCTGATTTAGCATCTGCACTTCTATGCACTTTATGATTGGATATTGACCTAATAAGTGGCCCATTAATCAATACAGTGCTGAATATAGGTCAACAAGATACTAGTGTACACATACATGTTTTTACAGTTTGCATAGTTGTTTATTCATCAATTATATCAATGTTCAATGTACAGGCAACTGACACCCATGTGGGTGTATATAGTTACATATGATTATATTACATAATTGTATTAATCAAGATGACAAGATATAACTGTTTTTAAAGATAGAAAGTTAGGAGAAGTCAAAGAAGAGAAAGGATATACATATATATAAGCACATATAGCTAAATGTTATATAGATCAATTTAATACTTGTCCAGATAATACTTTTTCAAATCTGACTTAAATTTATTTCTAGAATTCAGATGTTTAAAGTTTCAGGTAATTTATTCCATGCTGTTTGTCTTATGTACTTAATGCTCCTTTGTCAAAATATAGATTTAAATTGATTAGCTCTAAGATTGAATCTATAACGTGTCCATGACTATGAGTTTGAGCATTTGATATGAAGTAGTCATAGAATAAAGTTTGAGGAAATTATTTAGGTCATTTGAGACAATTAAATACAAAAATACCAACATTTAGCTTATGAATATCTTCTAATTTAAGTATCTTTATTTTCTTAAATTGTAGAGAGGAATTGTCTGTTCTAACACTGTTTGTAATTAGTCTTAAGAATCTTTTTTGTACTTTCAGTATTTGAAACAATAGGGCTTAGTTGCTGTTCCCTAGATAAGAATACAATAATTTATATGGCTATATATAAGAGAGTAATAGATAGACATTATTGCAGTGTGATTTATCTTATTTTTGACCTTGTAAAGAATTCCTACTACTTGTGAAATTTTGGTAGATACGTAAAACCAGTACATTCATTTTGAAATATCAGGTGAATTTATATTTTTTCATGGGGAGACAGTAATAGAATCTGCAACAGGTCCTTTAATATTTATTTTCTTTTTTTCTAGATTATTCCAAAATTGTGGACTTATTATGGCTTCAAAATCTCAAGAGGAACAGCAAACAAAGGATGCATACTCACGCCTAAATAGCTATATCAGAACAGACAGACAGAATGTCAACCCACATTTTTTAAACCTCTTCATAGAAGAGAAGATTAGAACAAATGAACTAGATTTCTCATCATTCAAAGGGAAGGAATGTATCGAACATACAATTCAAAAAAATCGTGAAGATATTCTTAGTAGTATATTTAAACAAAATGTTGAACTCATAGAACAACAATTAAAAATCAAAGAATTTACAAAATACACTCTAACACCACTGCAGCTAAGCACATACTTTAATGCTACAGAGTGTTTGAAAATCCTAATTCAGAATGGAGCTGATTTTGAAGCTTGTGATGAAGGTGGAAACACAGCATTGTTACATGCTTGTCATGATGGAAACACTGAGGTTGCTGAGGTTCTGGTGAAGCATGGAGCTGATGTGAATTGTACTGATATCCTATGGAGAACGCCACTGATGTTATGTCAAAATGGAAACCTTTGTCAGTTATTATTGGACCATAAAGCTGATATTGAAGCTACTGACGATGATGGAAATACAGCATTGCTACATGCTTGTGATGAAGGAGACCCTGAGGTTGCTGAGGTTCTCATTAAACATAGAGCTAATACAAATTGTTCCGATAGCAAAAGAAAAACACCACTAATGTATTGTCAAAGTGGAAACATTTGTAAGTTATTATTGGACCATAAAGCTGATACTGAAGCTTGTGATCATTATGGAAATACAGCATTGTTACTTGCTTGTAGTGAAGGAAGCAATGAAGTTGCTGAGGTTCTCATTAAACATAGAGCTGATGTGAATTGTTTTGATATTGGAAGTATAACACCACTGATGTCATGTCAAAATAAAAACCTTTGTCAGTTATTATTGGACCATCAAGCTGATATTGAAGCTCGTGACGAAGATGGACACACAGCATTGTCACATGCTTGTAATAGTGGACGCACCGAGGTTGCTGAGGTTCTGGTTAGACATGGAGCTGATGTTAATTGTTCTAATATCCGAGAAAGAACACCACTGATGTTATGTCAAAATGAAAAAAACATTTGTCAGTTATTATTAGACAATAAAGCTGATATTGAAGCTTGTGATAAAGACGGAAACACAGCATTGGTATATGCTTGTATGAAAGGATGCACTGCGGTTGCTGAGGTTCTGTTGAAAAATGGAGCTGATGTGAATTGTTCTGATAGTGAAGGAAGAACACCACTGATGATCGAGTATAAGTGCATAAGTGATGCTTCTAAGCGAATGATAATGAAAACTTTAGTGGTTAATGGTTCAAGTGTTAATGCAACTGACAAATGGGGTCAAACTCCTTTATATCATACTCTTGACCATATGGGAACAGACCATCAGGATGTAGAGGGAATTATTGATGATCTGCTAAATGCTGGTGCTTCAGAGCTTTACTCTCCTAAACAAACTGTGAGCTTGCTGACAACCTTGATAGAGAAGAATTTTAAAATCCCCATCAACACCCTTCTCAGTAGAGTCTATGTCCATGTGAATTGTAAAGATTCTAGGGGCCAAACTCCATTGATGATATTTGCAAGAGATGGAAATACTGATTTCATGGAGAAAACAATAAACCATGGAGCATTGCTGGATGACACTGACCTAAATGGCAAGAATGCTTTGATGTATGGAAGTATGCCGAAACACCAATGTTCTGCTGTTATAAGACTGATAGCTGCTGGGGCTGACGTCAACATAACTGACCAAGATGGCATAAATGCTCTTATGTTTACCTGCAAGAGTGGCTGTTACAACTGTAGTGAGCAAGTTCTTGCCAAAGGAGTTGATATCAATGCAAGAACAATCCGTGGTCAGACTGCAATGTCATATGCCCTGACAAATTTTCCGATGCGTAAACTAGAGCGAGGATCATTTAGCAATACCAGAGATTTAGTCAAGCTCCTCCTAGTGAAAGGTGCAACTTTAGACTTATGTAAAATACCAAGTGGTGTCATAAGCGACGTCAAAATGTACTACAGATTTTATGAATACATCATATTCCTCTATACCATGCTACACCAATACAGCTGCCGGCAATGTGTGTTCAGACTAGTCAGTGAAATCAGATTGATTCTGACAAACAACCACGCCGATATTGACCAGTTCAGTGTCATTACAAACAATAAAGTAAATTACATCATGTCGATTCTCCAAACCCCAGATGAGGATATAGCAAAGATTTATAGCACAGCCTTTAAGTGTCTCCTGCAGCAATACCCCAGGGAAATCAGGCTTGAGCATATAGCAGCAATGGCCGTTAGAGAAGCATATGGTATTGACCATCTCGCAGCATTGGTTGAGAGAGGAGATTTTCCAAGGCCTATATATGACATATTTGTAGACATTGTATCTCCTCAGAAACTTACTTATGCCTTGTAGACTGTGTAAATGCTCAATGACTACTCAAGTCATTTATATTATGACAGATAATATGATTATGCAGATCAGGATAAATAACATGTATAAAGAACAAGTTTTACGGTGTCTTCCCATTTCCCCCCTTCCCACTTTGCCCCTTCCCATTTCGCCCCTCATTTATTCCCATTTGGCCCCTTCCCATTTCGCCCCTACCCATTTCACCCCTTCCCATTTTGCCCCTTTTCCATTTCGCCCCTCTTCCATTTCGCCCCTGTCCCATTATGCCCCCTTCCCATTTCGCCCCTCATTCCCCCTTCGTTCCCTTCCCATTTCGCCCCTTCCCAATTGGCCCCTTCCCATTTCGCCCCCTTCCCATGTCGCCCCTTCTCCATTTCTCCTTCTCCTTCTTCTTTAGAATTATACCATTTTCCTGACGTTGAAGTTTCAATTTACCTATTATCGCCCGATTTGAAGTTCAGAACAAGGCTGATAATACAACGAACAAAAACTATTTATTTTATGAGTTTATATCACATGAACCGTTAAAATCAGGATTGTTTAGTTGTTTAAAATGATTCTGAGTGGGTTCTTCTGTTTCTACAGATAAATTAAGTGGTATGTATGGCGTACTATGAGATTTTTGGCGAAATATACCCGGGGAAAACTTTTTTTAGCTTTTTTCAAAATACTTGCTAAATAGTCGGTAAATATCGGTAATGACAAACGGTAATACCGCCACCACTTTTCATTACCAGTCCGAGCACTACTTGTAGTGTACTTGATTCTAGGAAACAATATACAATAAATCTAAAAAACATTGTACCTACCTGTGACTGTTCAATGAGATGGTGGTAAAGCTACCCACAGTAGGGAGGTGATATGACTGTGCAGACTCCCTAGGTTTCTTGGTATGTCTGTGAGGGTGGGGCTGGGTGAATAACTGCACTACACCATGGTTGGATAGATCCTTGTGTTGATTTACAAGTTGGAGACATACATTTTTAGCTCTGACAGCACTCGCTCCTCCTAACTACAACATACAATCATAATATATGAAATTAAGGCAGTTATACACTCTAAAAACTAAGTTACAATAAAGGTGCATGTTTGTTTTGTTAAATTTTTTTGTACTTTACAGTAAAACCTGAGTTAGTGAACACATCTCTCTAGTGAACACCTATTAACAGTGAACGTTTTTATTCGGCAAAACCTTTTTCTCCCATTGACTCCCATGTTAAAGTGCAATCCTATAGTGAACACCTACCAACTATGAACAGTGAACACTAAACCCTGGCAAAATCAATTGAATTATCCTGTCTCTAGTGAACATTGAATCAGATATAAGATTTCTCGCGGATTTTCTGCAACTGCCTTATCAGAGTTAAGCAGTTTATGTTTATATTACCTGCCAAAAATAATTAAAAGGTCAATTTGAGATCTTGATCTCTTCTATTGAAACAGGTGTGACTTATTATAATTCTTAATAAGCTTTGTTTTTGTTACAAAGGATATGCGTCTGGGATTGATTGCTTGGAGATAATCTGGTTAACTATTATTACCTCTATCTGCTAAGTCCCAACTTAATATTTTTTCTCATCCCGTCAATTTAAAAAAACGATTGGATCAAAATTATAATTCATGATCATTTCACTATTAACTGCATCTATCATGTCCTTTAACTAATTCAATAAAGTCCTTTAACTGACTCAAATGTCTCAAAAATTCCACTATTTAAAGGACCATCTTGATGAGATAAAAAGAATTATATAAAGATAAAAATTTGACAATAAAAGGATGAACATTCAGATGACAGTCAGTCTAAAATAAGTCCGTTTGTATATAGCATTACAACAAATTAAATACTTAACGCTTGAGTGGCATGGGTTAATATGGGTAGAAAATACAATTTTTTATTATTCAAATATGAATATGTTTTAATTCTTTTTAAGACTCATTTTAGTTTAATAAAATGTGCTGTTTTAACCAACATGGAATTGTGGATATTTTTCGATTACATGCACCTTAATGTAAGAGTGCCACTGTTAAAAAAGTGTATATCTAAATAAATAAATAATTAATAAATAATTAAATAAATATTTCCTCCTCTCTTTTAATAGCTGGTCTCTTTATATAATACGGCAAAATGCCGCGAAATCAAATCATTGCTGTAGTGAACACCTACCAACAGTGAACATTTTTTCTTGGCAAAAAATTGTTCACTATACGCAGGTTTTACTGTATATGTATATATTTTTGTACAACATTTCTATTCCTTAAATATTTGTAACATACGACATAGTTTCTACATTTTATAAAAAAAGCAAAATGTGCACATTATAGTTTTATAACTTCATGTACTTGTATACACGTAGTAGGAAAATAAAAATCATAGGTCACCAAATACATTGTTTTTGTAATTGGTCTTTGAAATAAGACAATGAAAGATAATATTTATCACAATGGGCACACTTGTGACATGTTACCATAGCTTATGGTGTTGTCCCACTTAGGCCATGTGGGCTCACTGTTCACCACCATGTGATGGCAGACAGAAAACACGGTGGCGAATGGTGAGCTCACACACCTTATGTGACAACTACTTTATAAATAATAATTTAATGGATGTATATTTTCTTACTTTGTAACCAAATGTGAGATCAATCCAATGGTGCAGTTTACTTGACACTGGTTCACTCTCTAGGATCTCCATGTGTCTCTTTATAAAATCCTCGGGGGAATCGCACCATGTTGGAATTTCAAGATCAGGCAAATCCTCGTGAATTGACGTAAAAATTGTTGGATCAGTGAAGAACTCTGGGATACATTCATCCGGGGTCCATTCTTGTAGACGCTGCATACTTGACGGGTATTCATTAGCCACCCATTTACTCCGTACATATTTACATAGGATTTCTTTAGGAGTGACTCTAGCTTTGTAGACATAGTATGTGATGTCCGCAAGTACGTCAGATATATGGTGAGGGGTATGAGTTGAACCAGATCCCAAGTCCATCATACCAATATCATAAGTTAAATCCAACTGCCTATCTCCCTTATTCAGACGATATTTTGATTTATTGAAGTTTCTGAAGCCACCATTTGGTTGCGTAAAATCACAAACCCAAGGAATCACTGGATGGTTGTTAGGGTCGCCGTATCTCCGTCCAGCGAATTTATTCAATATCATTAAATAGTCAAAGTTTGATATCCTCCCATGCACCCACTCATGAGTATATCTCCCTAAATCTGAGGTAATTCCTTCGAGTTCATTCTCTTTGGCACTTGGATTTAAATCATTTTTTAAAATCACATCAGTTTTGTTTTGATCACATGGCTTGATTTCATTGGTTAAAATTGCTTCTATATTTGGCAAGGGAATGTGCATCCATAGTTTGGAGTCAAGTAGGATATTTGAGAGCCTGATATCCCCCAGGGCAAGACCCTGTGAGTGTAGCCATGAGGTAAGTGAGAGTAGCTGGTAAACCAGGAACAAGGGCTTACTATGGGACTCTCCTAGTATTGCAGGACTAAATGTTACTACATCATTTACGTTATGAGGGAAATATTCCTCTATCACATAGAATACAGAGTCTGTCTCAATGATGCAATCCACGGGGACTGTGTTTGGATGGGGATGATTATGACCATCATTACTACTTGAGTTGGATAGGTCTGGAGTGAGTAGGCTTGCACTTGTAGGGTACAGCTGTACTATGTCACATCTGTACAACATCTGCAAGGCTTCTCGGAGGACATCATTGAACTTCTGGAAATAAAACAGTTTTCGATTCTACATTTTTATTGTAACATATGTAAAATTCAATGGATTATTTCTAATACTTAATGCAAAAGATCTGAACCATTAATGAACAGCATACTTTTCAATTTAGAAAGCATTTGGGCCATTTTGTAAAAGAAAATGTAAAATATGTACACATTCATCTATTTAACAATTGTCAGGCTCTGAGTCTAAAATGGGTAAATTCAATTTAATGACATCAGATATATGGTGAGGGGTATATGAGTTGAACCAGATCCCAAGTCCATCATACCAACATCATAAGTTAAAGCCAAGTGTCTATCTCCCTTATATCATTCAGACGATATTTTTATCTATTACATGACATGGCTGACCCTATCACACCAATACTCTCCCCAGGATTTTATTTCAAGTGGGTGCAAAATTTTTATCTTCATGATTTAGAACAAATTTGAACAAAATATGCCTATTTTCAAGATTTTTTCATCTTCAAGAAGGTGCCAAAGGATTCTCAGGTGGGTGCAGTCCTTTTATCAAAATCTCAAGTGGATGCAATGCCCACTTGCTTTAATGCTGGGGAGATCACTGCACACTAATGGCCAATGTTGTCATGCTAACTCAAACTCACCCTGTGTTTTATATCACAACTAGGAGAACTAGGGAGGCCTCCATTATTGATGTACTTATTATGCTTTTTCTGAACCTCCCTCCATAGATTCTTCCTGTTCTGCTCCCCAATATAGGCATGTAGTTCAGTAAAACTGTCAGTGAGACATTCCTGTTTGTTTTGTACATGTGAGTCGCTGAAAGATTCAAATAGAGATTTTTGTTAGTAAACATACATAGTAAACAAAGTGATCGATATATCGTGTGATTGAATATTGGTTTTAAGAGGAAAGCATGGCATGGAATGATATGGCGCAAAATGATTCAAACGTTTTTTTTTTGAAAATAAAGTCTTGCACAGAACTGAGCCTTTAGTTTAGCACCACCCAACTAATCTGCACCTAGGTGTTCTTGTGCATATAAAATAGATATCCCAGAGCTGAGCTTTGATGCAAGACTGGAAAAGGTTGTTTTGATTTTTAGTTCCATTAGCTATGTAATGGGTAAGCAAAAGAGTAAAAGTAAGTTTGTATTGACATGCACTGCACATGTCTGCTGATAATCCCTAAGGCGGGCCCCAAAACATTTGTAGATTTTTTAGTTTTGGACCAAAAATCAGGTACCTACTCGTACATGTATTATTTTTTTATTTGGCCTAATTTCAAAAATGTGCCTCTTTTGAAAAATTTGACCTCAATTCATCAACTTCAGGTTTGCCTCAGATATAGACTATGAACAGGGGACATTGACATTTTAAATTGGTATCATTATTCACTCACCTAGCTATTAGAACATCCTGCTTCTCAATACATTTGATCGACTTCCTCACCCAGGGTGGAGGTATGTTGAGTACAGACTTAGCAATGTAAAGGTCCACCTCGCTTATTGTCAGATTGTTAACTATTGCTTCAAATTGACCCTTCTGTACACCACGGAGCCAGTCTTCTGTCACCTACAACAAAAAGATAGGAATACACTTGCTTTGTCTTATATAAATTGATTGTTAATGCTGGCAGGATATAATCGAAACCAATGTTTCGTATACATTGTACACGTATCATACACATGTATACTTGTATGTGTATGTAGTATACATTTTGAGATAAAGGTCATTTATGCTTATTTCTATAGTAGGTGAAAAACATAAAGTTGAAAATCTATCTTTTAGAAATAGATATCATATGAGTAACATTTTTTGAGTATTAAATAAATGAATATTCTTAGAAATCTTGTAATGCACCACAATATTACAGATAACTGCCATTTTTAGTTATGATAGAGAAACAAATAAATGCAGGTAATTTCATTTCACAGTTTCCTTATCAAATTGGGGGTTTACGAGAAAGACCAACCATCGACCAGTTGGTTGGTTGGTTGATTGGTGGTCGGCTGTTGGTCTTTTACATAAAGATGAATATATGATGCAAATTTAGAAGAGGAAAACAAGTTTTATTGTCAGACAATGATTTAATTGTCAGATTTGAATTTCTGAGAACTTGTAGTTTATGTAGGGCACTAAATGAAAACAATCAGTAATTCCTCCAAAAGCAAGAGCTCTTTCCAAAAGCAGTCTTCCCCGATCTGATGCACTGGGAGTTTGGCAACACTTTTCAAATAAGGTAAACTTTTCTCCTCAAAAGTGCAAAAAACTTAGCTTCACAAGATAATCACAATGTTAGCCTTCGGGATTGCAACAATTTTGGAAATTCGCAAAGGTCAAAGCCGACATTTGCCTAATTTTGATCAAATTCGTGGGATAATCCCGCCATTTGCGGGACACTTGACAGCTCTGGGCATGGGTAATGGGAAGTTCTCCATAATAGAATACTCCAGGGATGTAACCTATAGATAACATAAGGGGGGTGCTTCTGTTCACATGATACTTACTTAGAATCTAACTTGGCTACTAACAAAGGAAAAAGAGTTAACCCCCCTCTTTTTCCTGAGCCTAGTGTGAGGTTAGGGTTAGGCTAGATCAGTAAAATAAGTCAGTGAGTCACCCTGTAAACTACTATTTATGTAATTTCCTACCAGGCAGACGACTCTGTGCTGATTGACACATCGTTGTAGATCCTCTGGTATCTTGAGCTCATCACTCAGATGTTTCATATTTGCCTATAATTTCTAAAATATTCAAAACAAAGATTTATTTTCCTGAACTAATTATCGGCGACTGGGGGCGGCCATTGTCCCATGATGCAACTGTGTTGTTTGTTGTGGCGCGAGTTTTAAAACTTTACAGATAAGTAAAGTATATGACAAGACAATGGACGGATTATGTGACCAATGTGTATTATTTGATATTAAATAAGATTTTCATAATTTTTACACAGATTCCAACGAGACCATTGAAAGAGTATTTATGCAATAGAATAGCCTTGTAATTGAGTGAATCAAAGTGGGGGGGGGGGGCTAAGATCTTAAAAAGATGTCTCTGGGTATATTGATCTTAAATCCTCTGTTGCTGTATGTGTATCCATTCCAATATTTTCCCTGTTCAGAAAAAATTGTTATTGTAAACCTACCTAGGGGTTGAGTCAATATTTCAATGTCCGTCAAAAAACGTCATTAATCTAGTAACGTCTTATCCCCCTCCCACTTCTATGATCTTCCAATGAAAGAAGCGCTTTTTTCTCCCAGCTGGGGACCCAAACACTGCCTAAGGAGGGACTCTGTACTTACAGAAAGGCATTTTTGTTATTTTTGTTTTGCTTTGTATGGAACAAGTTTGAAGAAAAACGGTGAGACTCACAATCCTTGATTTTCAAACATCTGGTAGCTAGGTCTAAAACTCAAATTAACATTTTTTCAACGTGCATAGTTGGACCCACGTGACTTTGGTTCTGAATTAAATAAGATATTAACATGGAAAAATGTCACAACCTGGTTGCAATTATGGAAATGTAACCATTTGTTACAGACAAAAAACAGTGGCTATAATAACAGAATAGGTCACCATTCATAAGCATTACATAAAAGCAAACACTGTACTTCTGGGCCTACTTAATTCGGCCTACTTATTTTCGCAGATTTGTTGTTTTGAACAAGCAATTTGACAGCTCTGCCAAAATAAGTAGAAGCTGTGGCTAAATTAGGGGGAGGGAGAGAGGTCTGCTAATGGTACAGTACAGGTGATTGAGTTTGCAAAAGCAATGAGTCACATATGGAATAAAGGTAAGATCAATTCCAGGTGTATCATATACAACAGAAAATTTACCATCAATAAAAAACAAACAATAAAAATGCATTTTGATTTCTTTATTTAATATACTTCTGATTAAAGAGCATAATGACATGTCATTAAAGTATAGCATATTAAGTACATAACAAAAACATTGCATGTATACATGAACAATACATGTACTGCATTTAGCAAAATGTTGTATCATACAGTACATCAACAGCTTTTACAGTTTTTCGGTCCAATTTACATCACCCAAAAATGTGAGCTGACCCCTTGATTCAATTACATGGCTCAATTACCTTAATAGCCATGTTTTCTCAGGACTGTGCTGTGTACATGACTATTATACTGTTATAATGGGTTATAGTCACAGCCATAATATTTTACATGCAAACATTTTATCTTTTAGAACAGAAAATTATCCTTAATTTCAAAAACACCGGGCACTCTGTTAGAGGGTATATTTCTCATCACTTCAATAATAACATTTTGATTAACTTCCAAGTACACTCTGAGGAAATGCATATTTGACAAAAGTTAAAAATATACAGATAACATTTACATGTCAAGGACTATACAGCTTCCAGGTCAGGCCCATAGACGGGGGGAGGGGGTTCGCAGGGTTTAAGCAAAACCCCTCCTGGCCAAAAATTCATTCAAAATCATGCAGTTTTTCACCATTCTGGACACTTTTCAAGTGATTTTGGCCATTTTTGGGCCAAAGTTGTCAACAGTGAGCCCCCTTGGAATTTTTTATTTTAAAAAGTGAACCCCCTTGGGAAAAGCTGGCTATGGGCCTGCAGGTCACGTCAGGTTATCGCATATCATATCATATTTTATTTTATCACACAGTTAGATTATGGCGAAGATGTAAATTGGCATTCTTTTCTATTTCACCAAATTCGCCAAATTAAAGCGGGCGCCAAACTAACCCAATCTACAGTAGATGATAAACAAGACATCCCTAAAAGATTCAGCCATTACACTGATGAGCAGTCAGTCTTGACAAAATCAAAATGCTTAGAAACTCCTAGACTTGTGATAAAATCATCGTTACACATATTCCACTTGGGTAACAATGTATCACCCACCACATTAGCTTCACTTTCATGGATAATACAGTGTTACCTTTTGCGGAGTATTTCCAGCATCACATGCTGAAATGTGTGATAACTAACTGATAGTAGCTACTACAGTCAAAACCCGGAAGCTTCAGTCTTACACATGGTGACAATATGCAAAATCTGCGAAGTGTTGGACATACTTTTTTTTCTGGGGCTAGTGTTGAAATAGACTGGAGCCCGAACCCCACCCATCATAAGAGGTGACTTGGGCATGTACTGCCATACATTCAGGTACTTTGGAGATACCTTTTATATAACAAAACTCAAATGTGGAAAAAGAACAGAACAAAAAATAAACTCAGTACAATACTCAGTTCACAAATCTTACTTGATTTTGTGGATGCATATGGCAAGTACTGGCAGTATTGAACATAGAACACTCACCATAGATTAGTATACACGTGATTCCATATTTGGGGGGTCTATCAAGATAATAACATGGTCAGAAACAGGTTATAAGAGATGCTCAAAAACATAAGGTAAATGCTTCATTAAATGAATTTTCAAAACAATTCATAACATCCCAACCTTGCATAATCAACATCTGATCTTTCAGAACAGATTGAACATAATAATACTCCCAAAACCTTGAGGTATAAGGGCTCTGAAAAGCATCTCATTGCAGAGACCTCTAATAGACTCCCCCTCCTGTTAATGCCATCATATACACAGAAGATGTGTACATACACACTGAGAAATCTGAACAAATATTGCTTTCAATATGTACAGCAGAAGGGGTCTCCAGAAAATAAATTTACGAGTTAAGAGATTTAACAGCTCTGATAAAAGCCGTGCTTCAAGACCCTGGACCCCCTTATCTACTTTAACTGCAAAGGGGGGTCCAGGGTCTTTAAGCATGACTACTCTGATTTTTTCTAAACAATCTGATAACTAAATGTCATAATTTGTAACATTTGCAAAAATATGCACGAGCGATAAGTATTGGATACCCCCATTACAAACCAGGAAATAAACATGACACCAGAAGCATCAAATCACAAAAATACAGCTGAGGCGTCTATCATAAAATTTGGCACAAAAGAATAGAGAATATAAACAATAAGTTCAATCAATGCTTTATCTACATGAACATAGGCCTTATCACAATGTATTTTATATGCACATGCAGCCTATCCAAGAAAAAATAATGCATATTTGTATCCACCTTTTACAACTTATGACTGATGAACAGTTATTAGGGGAGGTATCAAAAGTTCGATGTCGGATCGAAAACTAAATAAATCTAGTGGGGGGAGGGGGTTCAAAGCCATTTCAGTTTGCTATCCGACAAATTTCAACAATTCAAATCTTTTGCAATTTTGACTCAGAATGCCTTGGAATGGTTTAAATATAAAGATTTTACCTGATGCTTTCTTCGTCAAGATCATTACAATGGATTCTATTCTATTAATAGTTGTTAAAAGCCACAATTTACGATAGGAATTAACAAAAAAATAGAAATAATTTTTCAAATTCTCAAACCAAAAGTCAGCGATCAACTTTCATGGTATTTAGCTTTGGGGGGGTCAAAGTCAAAACTAGATTTATTTAGTTTCCCATCCGAGATCGAACTTTGGATGCCTCCCCTTAGTAAAACATTGATTGAAATAATTTGCTAGACTGCTGAATATAGACTAGGTACATATTCATAAACAGGGCCATAACCTTATGCTCCCTATACAATTCAAAGCACATAATATATGCTCCCGGGATATGCTCCCCAAGCAATTTAAACTGTACTTCTAATAACTTTAATTTTGATTTTGAGCATTTGGTCTTGTACATTAAAGGTCTCTGGGACCAAAGTAATAATTTCATATCTATTTTGAACTGGATTAGATGTTAGATGCACTGCTGGTGCCTAACTAAAGAGAATCAAAAGTAAAAATAAGGCAAAACTGCCAAAAAGTGAAATGACATCACTAGAGAATCCCGTTTATCTTCAGCACAGTATGTATGAGTTATGCAATCCAGAAACATATGCCTAACATGCCTATCCAAATCGAAAAACCTGTCATTTGTTTCAGCTATGGTGGTAAAAGTATGTGATAAACCAATTGATGATGAAGACATTTAAATATATTATGAGCAGAATTTCGAACAGGAGTCAGTTTGGTAAGGACGCCTTATTATCTCATGAACAAGGATAGATATTTGCAAACTTACCATTTTACAATCAAAATTTCGGAGCATTACAACAGAAATTGTGATATTTAAACAAGTACATGTATTTTATAATCACCAAATTATGTAAATCATGCCAAAATCAAAAGCTCATGTAACCATGGATTAGAAGTACAGTACGCTTGACGGGATGCAACTCAAAATTGTCCAGTTTAGTGACTTGCTGGTCGGAGAAACCCATTCCAGTCCAATGCAAAGTTAGTTTTTTAAGCATATTGCAGAATTATATATCATACTCAAAACCAACAAACATTGCAAAGTTTCACTCTTAGAATACCACTTAAAGGGTAAGATATAATCAACCTGCTTAAATATCTGCAGGGTTCTTTATTTAACCTGCTCTCATTGCAGGGTTCAATCTTTAGTCTCCTGTGCTAAGGAGAAATGACTCTTGTATCCATGGTTACTGCATATCATGTCTTACTGCTCTGCTTACTGCTTTGTTGTAATACTGAAAATGTGGAAGAAGTAAGTTATACAGAGTGACACAAAAAATGATACCCACATAATATTGCATAGCTTTTTTTGTCCGCATGATTCTGACTTGTTCACTAGCACAATAAAACTAGATCGGCTCCAAGGAGCAACTCCACGAGAATTTTCAGATGATAAGCTCAACTAGATGCACTTTTATGGACTTTACAAGATGTGCTCCTTGAAGTATAGTTTCAATGTGCTTCAGAAAAAGTCAAAATTAAGGCAAAAAAGTTATGCAACATTATGTGGGTGAGATTTTTTCTGTCACTCTGTATTTTAGGCCTGTGTACCTAAAAAATAAAAAGGGATTAGAGAGGATGAAATCATGCTATTGTTTTTTTTCCTTTCAATCCTTTTTTTCCAAATTGAGAATTGAGATCTTAAATGTATATGCTATTAAAGATCTGAGATTCAGCAAATTCCAAGGCAACCTAAACATCAAAATCAAGGAATTATCTTGAAATAAAGTAAGAACTGTTGGACTTTTTAGAAAATAGGCGTAATATAGAATGATGAAAATATTGTAAAATAGGCCTTGTGATAATTTTTTGGAACTTATACCAAACTCACCTCGATCCATTCTAGTCCATTTAAAGAACGACTTTAAAGTTGAGCTGAGGCAATAAATGATGATTTGCAAAAATGATAACATAATGTTATAGCTATTTTTAAATGACTGTCAAAACTGGAGAGATGACATGAAAAGACTGAATATGTGATTAAAAGCATTTTGCTAGAGAACTATTTTTTTAGATTTCAGACATTGTCAGAGAATCATATTTCTACATTGCATGTAACAAGTTACAAAATACACAGGCATGTTAGAATTTTCATTAACTCTAAGATTATCTCCTGGTCAATTCATGTACAGAATTATGAGGATATTTCAACTGATTCTATGATTTGGAAGTAATAACTTACCTTGCTGCATATACCGTTCCTTTGCTGCTGCCCGCTGCTTATCATCAAAATACCACACAGTTATGGCATACCTGTAAATATATGAGGTAATAATGAATGTTTTGAAAACTATCAGTCTAGTGATTTTAAATTCATCAGTGATTAATTTAAATGTTCGATCTCTGACTCAGTAATTTGTATATTCATCAAGGATTTGTTCACCAATGGACATTTTGCTTTTATTCAATGGTCAAATAAAAATTCTCCTTATATTAGTTAAATGAAACCTAAATCATTTGAAACTTAAAATTCAGTCATTTGTCCACTTAATTTGACACCTATCTTAATATGGGTATTCCCAAAAATTCGCAAATTCATGTCTTCGCCAATTTTTCAGAAGAAAAGTTGTCATCAATCAGAGAACTAATCAGTGGCTTGATGCAAAACTAGATTAATACGTATATGTAAAGTATACCTCGTGGAGTATGCAGGCTGAACTTCATGTGGATTTCGACGGTCGGACCAGAAAAACAGAAGTCTGTCAAAAATAGGTTCGATATCTGCTATCACCTTACTCTCGCCCTGGGGAAATATGCGTAGTAGACCACCACTTTTCTGTAAGAAATACAAATACATCAAAACCTGTATTTGTCAACACATCCCATGGGAAATATGCTTTACAGACCAATATTTCTACAACAAAGGACTGCAATGCCATACAATGAACTCTTGCACATCAAAATAAATATTATCAACAAACATAATAATGAATATGCGTACAAAACCAAGTTCACACTATGCACTTTTTCACATCAAAATAAATAACAGATCAATAGGCATTTTTATTAATATGCATATAACTTAATTTAATTTGTCATCCCAACATTGACAAAGGGATGGATGGACATGTTGAATGACAGATCAATACCTACCAAATCCTAATCTAATTTTTCCTCCATTTTCTGAAAATTTCAGAAACATGGTGGAAGTATAATGATTACATATGAAACAGTTAGGGAGAAGTGATGAACTTTAGTAGCATTTGTAACACAATAGTAGCTTTGATCTATGAATGAAAGGATCAAAGTGGTTTGTGTAGAATCTTTTAAGGCCAATTAACTTAAATTATTTGTTTTTCTTCAGATCAAAATTTGAAAATTGTCTTGCAAGCAGGGGGGAAACAGAAGAAACCTTTGATGCCACCTTCATTTAGTTGCTGTATTGTGACCATTTTTATCATTGATCAGTGTAGAATTTTTGAAAATTCTTGAATATTGGCAGATCTAAGAATGCCGAAGTTTGATCGATTCGAGCCATTGATTTTTTAAATTATCATAACTTTTTTCGGTATGATAGAAAGAACCCTCCCTTTCCTATTTCAAGAAATCTTGCTACTAGGTGGTTGCTGTTTTTCCATAGCACTGGCTATAACTAAGTCTCTGAGCCTTCGAGATCTTCTGAGAACTTGTAGATGATTTTGAAAAAAGGTCAATTTGAAGCAAGTTGAAAAAAGATCTGTTTGACCTTGAGAAAGTCATTGAAGGTCAAATCTTTTAAAACCTTGAGAATATCATTGAAGGTCAGATCTATAGTCAAATTTGAACTTTTGAAAACTTGTACATGATTTCGAAAAAAAAATTGGTCAATTTGAAGGAAGTTGAAAAAAGACCTTTTTGAACTTAAGAAGGTCATTGAAGGTCATATTTCAAACCTAAAGTCAGATTTGAACTTCTGAGAACTTGTAGATGATTTTGAGAAAAAAATTTGGTCAATTTGAAGTAAGTTGAAAAAATACCTTTTTGACCTTTTTTGATCTTGAAAAAGTCATTGAATGTCAAATCTTAAATTTAAAGTCAGACTTGAACATTTGATAACTTGTAGATGATTTGGAAAAAAATTGAAGTCAGTCTAAACAGTATTTGTTTAAGAATTTATTACAGACGCCAACCGCCGCCCACTGATCACAAACTGCCAAACACCGCCACAAAAAACGGAGACCATAACAATTTGTCACCACTTCTTGGTGGTGACATAAAAACCTTCCACAGGCTATCAGGCATGCACAACAGCTTTTTCATACCACTCACTAACAGCCAACATTTTTCTGGAAATTCAGCTTTTTAACTTCCAGTTGCCGTTATTTTGTTCAGAGTAAATTATCTAATTTTGGCGGCAAAACAAATTTCCTGTGATATTTTTAATGTTTTTTCTTCAGAAAACAATAAAAACATGCATGCACATTGGCAGTAAAACAAAGAATTTAAGTACACTGGCCTAACTTATAATGGTATTTAAGACTGATTAATAAAAATAGACATCACATACCTGTACATTCCAATTTTTGTTGAGATAATATATGCATGTAACACAACGACCATCTTGATTTGGGTTATCAACGTGTCGAACATATCTGGTGGCATGACCCGGGTAGCATGCGACCATTGCCTGGAAATAAAAAAAGGACTCTTAATTCAAATAAATGATAACGTTTCACAGCTTGAACAAAACAATTCTTAATCAATAAGTGAAGACGGGAAATTGAATAACCTTTATAGAATGAGCGAAATGAACCTCACGGTGAAAATTATCCTTGACATTATATTAACAACCCTTATCTGTCTATGAGACCCTCAATGACAAAAAAATCAATGACATAACACTGTTAACTTTTAAATACATTTGTTTAATGTTCCCACATTATACAGTATTGCTTTACAACTTTGACCTCTAACGAGTCGTGCTAAATCCCAAATAGTCTAAAACAGTGAACACTACATGATCAAATAATCAAAGTGACATAAATTTAATTATAACTAAATATATGCGTGCCTACATGTTATTTCTCAGCACTTCAATCTATAAAGAAAAGTATTAAATCTTTATTTCTGCATTGATAGGTTAAAACGAGAGCACTTAGTGTTAACCTGACATTGGGTGGTGTTGCAGATCATGTACGCCACAATCTATAATACACAAAATACAATATGCTCAATACACTGAAGGTTAATAGCCAATTCTCTCAGAAACTAGCACGTAAGCATCACGTAAGATCAGACAGATATATATTCTCAAATAAACCAAATAATACGTGAGATAATTTAAAAATATCAAGTTTACAATGAAACCTTATGATTATAATATATGTTCATACAATGTATTATTAGACTGAGTAAAATAATTAGAGTACTAATTAAATTGTAAACCTGGCTCTAAATTTGAGGAAATGTACCACTTTTAATTAAATGAAAAAATTTAAACTCGCTCTCAAAACACACGAAATCTTTAAAACAAAACATATACTAATATATCATAATCTATAATAAATCATTCCAAGTTCGACTGTAATAATCCTATGCAAACTTAACTATTCAATTTACATATTGGAAAATCTATATATCATGGAATTAATTTATAGGCTCTTTAAATATGCACAAGAATGTTTTTTTGTAGTTGTTGAACTAGTAGTTACCATCATTGTAGCTTTTCAAATACATGTACAATGTAACTGATGTCAAATTTCAATGGAAAATATAAGAAATAGCTATTGCGTGCTGATGTGGGTTTTACTATTATTTCTGTTATTCTCAGTGAAAGCAGCAAGGAAATGAAAGTTAAAATTTTTCAAAAACATTTTCATGAACATTTTTTGATATATTCAAGGTAATCAATATATTTTGTTATTTAAAAGATTGAATTTGGGGCTTTATCAAATCAATGAAAAGAAATGAGGGATCTGTATTAAAGGCAGAATCAGATCTATTGGGGTGACAAAATTACAAGCAAATTGTTCACTTGACCTACCAATCTGTTCCTTACAATCTCAAATACAATATCTCCCAAAATATCTCCGATATATAATAAATTGGTGAATTATAATGGATTCAAGGTGCAAAAATGGGTGAAAAATGTTTAAATTTTCCCAAATAATAAGAATGGTAACCATTCTTATCGAAAAATAACAAATTATTGTAAAGAATCTTTAGTTTTCCTGAAATAAAATTTTTAGAAAATAGACATGAAAAGTATAAGCCAGAAATATTTTAAAATTGAAACAATTTTTTGTTAGGCTGCTCGCTATCTCTGATTCTCTCTTAAAACTAGGCTGCAATTTTTGTAGAAATTTTTTTTGATTCCTTCAAAATTTAAAGATCTAATAGCAAAGGTATTGCAAAAATGAATTGATGTAGTATAAAACAAATGTATGTATGTATAATGAAGAAATAAATATATAATGAAAAAATAGATACAGGAAAAATGGGGAAGTTCGAAAGAACAATTTTTGGGCAGTTTTCAGGTATTTATAAAGTGTTTGTGGTATAAAATATAATCCACAGACATAAATGAACATTAAAAGTACATATTTTTTGGAGCCATTTTTGCTCTTAAATTTACATCTTTAAAAAAGATTTTGATTAAAAGAACAAAATACAAATCTACTCGTAGACAAGGCTGAAGGCTTTAACAACGTCACCAATTCGTTATAGATGCCAACAACAGACAACAATCACCCAACACCATCAACAAAAATTTGTAGTGGTAACATAAAAAAACAGTTATGGAAATACAAAGTAATAAAAATATACATATCAGTTTAGAAGCCATGAAAAATCAAGTCAATCAAATCAATTTAAGTTACCGTAAGAATTATTTCTATGACTGAAACATGAGCATTTTCATAACTACACTTTTGTTTCCTTTCAAATAGTCCAGCAAAAGTCCACAAATATAAGAAAAGGCGCATTTATCCCATCCTTCAAGATTGGGCATCACTGTCCTAGCTCATATATTGATTGAATAAATTGAAATACCCTTGGACCAAGGATGCATTTGTTCGGATATGTCAGATTTTCAAAACCTGGACATCTCACCAATGAATTAAATTACATAAGATAGCTAAACTGCTCTAGAAAAATCATAACCTTCATAAATCATAACCTAAAAAAAATCAATCATAACCTGTAATACATTGTTATCACAGATGTTTGAGGTATTCAGTATTCCTAAATTAGCAATGAATATATCACCAAGGAACCCTGGAACATTCCAGGATTTTATTCTGGCTCAGTGTATGATTTATGTCCATGAACATGTGCTATAAAAAACAAAATTATGAATTATGAAACAAAAGGCAACTCCATCCTTCAAATTCAAGATTGGGCTTCATTGCAGTTGCAGCTATGATAGATACTATAAAAACTTGAAATACTCTTGGACCAAAGATGTAGCACCGAGCATAATATGTTTACTCAAATTATTATGGGCTATACTATATTCAAGAATCTTATTTTTAATTTCAACTCATTTTAGGTGGCAATTCTGCATTTTGAAAAAAGACATAAAACCATTCACCAATATAATACTTTCTACCAAAAGTCAGACTACTTGAAAATTAGTGCACCCTACTTTTTCAATAGCTTATTCTTTTTATTCAGTATTACAAAATAATTTTGAGATATTCAATTGAAATGATTGGGGAGAGAGGTTTCCAGTATTAGACGCCAACTTACAGATGCCCCCCCCCCCATAGACAGATGAACAGATGGCTTCACTATATTCTTCAACAAATTTCTTTTTTGGAGCACTAGTAGTAAACATTTCTAAATCTAAATGAGTGACATGCTACTTTAATAACATACTTTTTCTATTCTAATAAACAGCTCTTTAGCCACATACTATTTTAATAACATACATTTTATGGATATACTTTTTCTCAGTCAAAAGTTAATACAAATGTCACTGTGAAACTGGCATGAACTGAAATTGCTGTTTTAAGAGAAGCTATATTTAATAAGTTTGGGATCAGTTTTAAACACAACGTAGCTTTTGCAAAGGGCAACCATCAACTGTAGTGAAGTTTAAGATCATTCCAACATAAATAAGTGAAAAAGTATGAATGAATAGGGGTACGTTCAAGTTCTTGATACAAAACTCAACTTTAATAAAAACATTTAAAAGTCACATTCAAAGTTTGGAAATCTTGTTTTATCATCCTTTGTTGACATCCTTTCATTAATTCTCTCAATGACTAATCTTCATCCTGGAATTGTTTATCTATTTTTTGTTTGGCAAATATGTAGCAATAATGCACGTTTAGTACACACCCACACAAGTATGTCAAGTAAATGACAGATACTGAAACTATTCTGTTCTTGTTGTTGTTTTTGATGATATTCTGATGATACGTCTATCTTAATGACATTCACCTTCAGCCTAATATCAGGATAAAACCAGTTCTAGACCAATTGACGATTAAAGGAACCATCATAGATACCATTTCCTCCAAGAGAACACTCCGATTTCAAACATACAGTATTTCCTCCAAGAGAACACCACATTTCACAAATACAGTAACACCTGTGTATAGTGAACACCTATAGAGCTACAAAAATGTGTTCACTGTATGTGGGTCTTCACCAATGGGAGGAAATTTTATACAGAGCTCAGTGGAGTATGTGCTGAGAAGGAGTGTTTACTAGACATAGGTGTTCATTAGAGGGAGGTTTTCAATTAAACAGGCTTTACTGCAAAATAATGCTAATGTTTGACTTTGGCGCTAGTTATTTGTTCACAGTTTGTGGAATTTCACCTTTTTCATTAAATCAATATAATATGTATAAAGATAAAAATAGGTTATAGATAAAGATAATTTACAAGGATGAATTAAAAAGTTTATGCAGAAAGACTTTAAATTTAGTATCTTATAAATCATTCAATGTTGACTCCCTCACCTTGCTTAATTAAGATAAAATACATACCGGTACATCTCAAATCATACTTTATAGGGACATTTCATTAGAGGTGCTTATTATGTTAAATTGGTCACATCTTAAAGAAAATGCCTTTTTTCAGTTCTAACTATTAACTGTAATACATTTTTATATCAAATATATTTCTCAAAGGACACACTTAATTCCCATTGACCAGAAGGCAAGAATGACCAAATATGGGATATTTTTGTTGAACCAATTCTCAAAATTATTTTCTTAACAAACAAAGCGCATATTGTTTAACAGAAAAATATATGGTTTAGTTGATTTTTTGTCAGAATACAGAATTAGACTTGTTGAATGTTTACATTTTTACTGGTTCTAAATTTAATAAACCTTGGCCCTAAATATGCATTATATGTGTACTTTGGCATCATCTCATTCAACAATGTCTCCAAATAAACAGAAATAACATGATGAAAATAACATCTTACCAGGAATGTGCAAAAATAGACAGGCAACTGTAAAACAAAAATAGTGGAATGATTAATTGGAAAATACTTGATTTCCACAGTGGTTTCCATTGCACAATCAGTTTTATAAAGAACATGTAATTAAGCATTTACTTGTATCCAGATGTTGTAAGATCACTCACTACCTGCAAAAGGTGGATGTAACAATATGTCACTACTTTTTTGTGGTGACATTATAAAAAAATCCTGCATACTTAAATGGCAAATTGAGTCTCAACTGAACCGAATTATTTAGATACAAAACGCATTCACCAATTTCACTTGACATATTATTTAAAATTAAAGTCAGAACAGTTAAAATTAGATCAGTATTTAGAATATAATATTGTGGGTGAGGATGCAAAATGATATTTTAGTTCATTATATAAAAATGTAAAAAGTTTTCAGATCAGTTAGTAAAAGTTTGTGAAAGTGAACAAACCTTTAAAAACAGTGAAAAAGAAAATGTCCAACAAGAAAATCAAGAAGGAGCAAAAATTTAAGGCTCGTGATACATTTCACTAAAATACTGCATCGCAGATTCAGTGCCGTGGATTTAAATTCAGGGCTTTCCTCTTTACTGCTGTTTTTATAATTATTGGTTGTACTCATAAAATTATGACTTTTTATAAAATCTGCTATTAATGGTCTGACAGTTACTGGTTATTGCGAGCTTTTAAGTATTAATATGTTGTATTCGTACATTAGTCAAATGCTCCAAGCTGTTATAATGTCACAACACCCTCCCCATATGATTAATGTAAATTCAGACTTCAAGTTCTAGCCTTGTTTTACAATGAGATATGAAGCCAAATATAATGCACATAAATTATCTCTAAGCACACAATGCACGCATCAATCATCTCCACAACAAAATTCACATCAATTACATACTATACTATTTAAAAGGGCTCACTTCATCCTAAAATACACCAAAATTGGGAAAATCGAAATAACCTCTAATTTTCACCATAAAAAGACTTGAATTATTATTTTCTGTAAATATTAAAGCTTGAAAAATTGATGAAATGTCTTTTAGAAATTATATGAAGTGCAATACGAGCATATCAGATGTATATCATTTTGCTTACCACGTGGTAAACATTTTTTGATGTTTGATATTTTCAGAAAAGAAGCTTTACACAAAGTCTGCTGATGGTGCAAATTACAGGTTGTCATGAATTTTAAAAATGGCGTATTTCACATAGAGCCCTTTTAAATGCCGCACAATCATCTATAGCACATAATACTACTATCTCTAGCACAAGAGTAAGTTCAACATCATTCCTCACTATAACACAGTATAGATCAATCACCTAAACATAGGGCGAAGGGTTGTTATGTCGACATATGGGATAATGTTAGTGATGCTGTAATATGCCATAATTAGACGTTTGAAAAGGGAGTAAGAATTGAGAAAAATAAAAGGTTTCTTAAAATATGATGCAGGGGCATCATTTTAGAAATGATCATTCTCAGTTATACATTGAACATAAATAAAAAGTAAAAATAAAAGATAAGTTTCACTAAAATTTATCAAAACAGGCTAAATAAACGAAAACAGCCAAAAATGGAAATCATAAATTTAACATGGAAAAGTTGTTAACAACTGGTGAAAATCGCCTGTTGCCTGCTGCTAATGAAACCCCTGAAGGATAAAAAATATGTTAAAGGTATTTTAAAATTTCGACTAAATTGGAATCTTTGAAATTGCCTGAAAACTAACCCCTTCACCCTATCACACACTGATAATATCTGCAACATAAACACAGTGCATTTCACTATCACCCCTGCACTGTACCTTAGTTCTGCCATTCACATGATAAGTGTCCAGTGCCCTTCTCTCATTGCACAACATGATGATAGAGTCTATATTCTCAACCAGGTAACCTATGTTCTGGCAACCTGGTTCATGGCCTGCTACCCAAGCTATTTTGTCACCGCGTATTGTCTGGGTGGGTCGAGGCACTGACTCACTAACCACTTGTCCATCTTTAAAAGCACCTATGCTGTGCAGGTGTTTTACTTCGCCAAATATCTCATTCCCTTTTTGAACACCGAGAAAATTATCGAAGACACATATTCCATATTGTTTTAGGCACTTGATTACATATTCTGCGATATGACGCTTCCTTTGTTGACTCATGATGATAGATTGATCAGGTTTTTTAGCGTCTGTTACATGATCGACAGTATTTTCTAATTTCCCCATATCGTCAATTCCAGATGCCCCGGACGGATATCCAGGACCAAGCGGGAAGTCTGCTGAACTGGCACCGAATAATGATGAACTTGAACTTGACGGGTGATCTGGGGACTGATCTAAAGTCAGTGGTTGTGTCGTTGAATCAATTGAAACAAATCTATTCTCATTGAGTTGTCCCTGTGATTCTGGTGTCGTTTGTTTACATTCTGTTGATGTTGTACTCTTGACTGCCTTGCTGCATACTGATTTATGCTCCTTCCAGTGTTTCTTTTGATGTTCCCTAGAACAATACCATGTCTCGTGACACCCAGCACACACCATTAGTTTTTCCATTTCACCACAGAGTTGGCAGATTTGTTTTTCTAATTGTTGCGACTGCTGATAGTCACGTCCGCCAGTGTCCGCCATGTTAAAACTCATGAAGGCTCCATAGATTTATGAGTGACGACCTTGCCCATCGTTTTTCGGACACTGTTTCTTCATACGAATGTGGTTTATTATCTTTTCTATAGTTTCCACCAAAAGAATTTTGATTCAAATGCATAAAAATTGAGTAGTTGACGTTTAAAGTCGCGACGTGTTTAATTTTAGGTCATTTGTGTACTTTAGATGTAGGCCAAAGTACGAAAATAGTCAGCTAGCTCACTAAAAAATTGCTAGCAAACTCGAGATTAAAATATTATTTTTTTATGTTTGAAATGACAATATTTCATTTCAAAATTAGACTCAAATCTATCAAGGTAAAATCAAACAATATTTTGATTGAAGGATATCTTATATATTGTATTTTCATAAGTAAAGTCTAACTGTTATTATATTCAAAGGTCAATCCTGCTACCATATTAGGAAACAAAGCCATCGATTTGAAAAAGTGCGGGCTGAGATCTTCAACTTTTTATGCCTTCTCTGTATTCTTTCCGCCCACTATATGCTAACAAGACCTGAATTACTTCTATATAAAGTAGGTATCTATTATCTATCTTTAGAACACTCACATTATTTGTCTTACTCACTTCGAGAGCCATGTTAGATACCCGGGGTTAGATATTGAAAATATTGGCTCACTGACAGTGACACTGGACAGCTGAAGAAGAGTGAATGATACGAATTATGTGATCGGTGGCTCAGTAAATCCAGGTGTCATTTATTTATGGTGAGCACTGTTCAAATATTTAAACTTATATGTAGCCTAACAATCTATTCTCTGATCTTTGAAAAATCAGTAACCAGAAATTATTTTACATCCTGCGAAAACTAGGCCTATGTGGATTTTGATATAATAGCTTTCCCACTGCGCACTGGACAACTAGACTAAATAACAGTGACCTTTAAAAAACACGAATTAAGGTTCAGCTGGAAAGTAACATTTTGGTAAAAAATTGCTATACCTGCACATGTTATTTTCTGGTACAAAATTAATTATGAAGGCATATGTGTATTTCCTTGCTTTTTTCAGGAAAGTATCATTACACTGTCTTCTTTTAGAATATCTGGAAACAGGTCAATGGTAGCTCCTGTGTTGTCTGGAAACTTTGAAAGAAAATTTGGAAAAATAGAAAGTGTGAAATATCAGAATTTCCTGGAGTTCCCATTGAACGCCTACCAGATATTTTAAAAGAAGACAATGTAATGATACTTTCCTGAAAAAAGCAAGGAAATTGACACATGGCTTCATACTTTATTTTGTACCAGAAAATAACATGTGCAGGTATAGCAATTTTTTACCAAAATGTTACTTTCCAACTGGACCTTAATGCGATCAGCTGCTTATTTTTGGTCTTAACTGTCCCACATCATTGGCACCCGTGCAAGTATTGGAGCGCCAGAGTACTTTGTCGATCAAGACTTCGTAATGAATGTTTTTTCTGGCCAATTCCAATATGGCAGTTTTTGCTCGGTAATTTACGTAAATCTGCGGAGGTCTTCGAAATGATCTAACTAAGTATGGCTGCATTTCTGGTAGTTAGGTCATTTGGAAAACCTCCCGACTTTTGGTAGAAAAGTCTGCAACAAGTGAATATTGTTTGAATTGTAATTCCTGATAGATTCACATAATCCCAGTGTGTGAAATTGTTTATAAATGTTTGTGAGTGACTTATTACATAACATGTATGATGTGTATTACTCGTGCATTATCATGCCTGTGTAATGAAATGTGAAGTATAAGTAATACGCAACTGATTGGAATGATTGACAGCTGAGTTAAGCTAGGTTTCTCTGGCCAATTGTCGTCATTTACCGAACAAAGTTAAAGACTTTCTGATAGTGATTGGGTCTATGTTTGTGATTGATTTGGTACATTAGGCGTGTTGAGAATCCAGTTATACACATACCATTCAACAGAAATATACTTATGAGAAGCCTGCTACGGGCAATATTGATTGGTTCTGGGAATGTGCCCTGGGTGACCTTTGTGTGTGTGATTATCTCGTTGTACTGGAATATTAGTTGTGAAAAAGTGGAATCAATACTATAAATGAATCCATCGATAGTAACCATGTAGAAGTGACACAGCATACAAATACATATAAAGACATTCTGAATATAGATTATCATATTAATTGTGTGATTTTAGTGTACATATTATAGATTAATAAACGTTTATATATTTTATTGAATATAAACTAAGTGTCAGTCCCTGATTTAGCAGCTTGGTGTGTAGTTTAGAGACCTTGCATGCTACATTGGAATTGGGCAGAAAAAAACATTCACTCAATGAACAATTACGAGTCTTGAACGACAAAGAAGTACTCCAATGCTCCAATACTTGCACAGATGGATACCACTGATGTAGGACACAGTTAAAGACCAAAAGTAAGCCGCTCAATCACATTGATTCGTGTTTTAAAGGTCATTATCATTCAGCTGTGCAGTGGGGAAGCTATTATATCAAAATCCACATTATGACTTTCGCAGAAGTAAAATTTCTCATTTCTGATTTTTCAAAGATCAGAATGGATTGTTAGGCTCCATATAAGTTTGAATATTTGTTCAGTGCTCATCACTGCTCACCATAAATAAATGACAGCTGGATTTGCTGAAGTGAGGATTTCCCATGTTAAAAAGAAGAGAATTTTCAAGTGATCATACATTAGTAGCTGATAGTAAACAAAATGTAAAATATACAAAACTTAAGGGATGTGTATCTAGTAGGGGTGTCGGATATCTTTCGGGTCAGGTCAGGCCAATAAAAAAGTGTGCGAGTCAGGTAATTTCGGGTCGGTCAGAAGAAAACAGGAAAATGAATTTGACTTGCTGTTTAAGCCTGCATTTATAGCATATTATGCTTTCATAAAGGAAACTTAGCATTACAACATTCGGGAAGAACTGTTCCCCATTCATAATTTATGCATATTCAAGAAATGGGCAAGCCAAAAGTTTGAAATTTTGCGGTAAATGTAAAGAATTTTACTATAACTTATGATATGGGTGTTCTGACTCAACCCCAAATCGACCCAAGATTCAGGTCGCCAAGGGTCGGTGTGACACCTCTAGTATCTAGGCATTATTGGAAAGTATGAAGTCTCAAATCACCATGGTCTGGGAATGGTGATAGAAATTCAAGGTGCCATTTATTTATGGTGAGCACTGTATAACTAAGTTAAATGTAGACCTAGTCTAGATCTACAAGTCCATAGTATCATGCGGAATGATACATTCATATTTTACACATGAAATGTTTGTATCTTCGATTTTTGTCCTTTAGCTGATAAAATGTGTGGCCTTTTGTATTTATGCTTCTCTGACATGTAATTTTCCAAAAAATCAGCATGGCAATCTGAAACTTACTAAACTACAAGAGGTCACCAGTTTATTGCACATAAAACTAATTTAACTTTAATACAAATGTTAAATGCAAATGCAATATAGACAGTGATCTTCTCAGGATTTTTCATAGCAGTGGGGCAAATTTTCACTTGCACTTCAGCAGCTCCCACAGGGTTACTATTTCTTTACTTGGAAACGCCAAATAAACACCAAATCTCATTAAGAAAACCTTTTATTCAATAATACTATGATAATATGGTTGTAGTGTTCATTGTTCAGTTTCCTTAAAGCCTTTTGTCCCTGCATCTTCTGGGGTGCATGTCAAACCCTCCCCCATGCTGCCTCAAAATCGAAGTCTTCTTCCTTTGGCCCGTCTATGATTATATTGAGGACCCTTGGTGGGTGAAGCAAACAGGGGGGAGGAACAGGGGGGTGAAGCAAGCAGGGGGGTAAATTGAGTGAGCAGGGAGCGCCATGCACTTAGATTCTGGGGAGAACTCGGATAGATGTATTTTCCATATAATATTGCACTAGTCTTTGATTGATTATTTTTGAGGTTTCATTAACACAATCCAATTGAAATAAACTAATAATCCAAATTACTTTTGATAATCCAAACACTTCTTAGAACAGCCAAGTGTTCAGACTAGCAGGCATTCACATTTCAGGTTTTTCTCAATATTTGAGGTAATGGAAGATATAAATTTGGGACTGGGGAAAGGTGTTCACATTGATAGGTGTTCAGATGAGAGGTGTTTATATACAGGTTTCACTGTAAATGTATTACTATTGGTTTTACTGCTGTTGATTTCAGACACAGGTCGACAATCCTTGACATCCAAACTTAAATTAATTATGAATATACAACCTTCTAGCTAGGAGGATGGAGGAAGGCTTATGCCAGATTGTTTGGGTCAAAATTGTATTTTTTGTCAAAATTTTCAGTTTTATTAAAAAAATTGACCAAGCTTGTTAAATTGAAGCCCCTCATCTTTGATAGAAACTGATTATAGGCAAGGATACTATGTATGATCAATTCCGCATGATGAAAGATAATTTAATGTTTTTATGAAAAAAAACTATAAGTATTAGATTGATTTCATATTACTTCAGAAAAAGAAAGCATATAAATCACCCTATGCAGACAGAGCCTGTGGGAAATATTGGGTGCGGCGCAAATGAGCGGAGGGTGCGGAGCTAACGGTCATTTTTGAATTTAAATTGGGATATTTCTGAAACTAAGCCGTTTTGGGACTTCAAATATACCAAGATATGTGTATTTGACACCAAATATCAATAAAATTGTGAAAATAGTAGTGCAATTCATTTTATAGCGACGCAGTATGCCTTAAACATTTCCCAGACCTATATATTTTGAGACTATCCTTTTAATACTGCGTCCCCAGCATTCATAAAAAATGGTGTTCAAGATACACTACCCATGCAAATTATTTTTGCATCTTGGAAGCCGGGCAGTATCTGTGTGATTTTATAAAAATTCGGAAATGTTCTTCAGATATGAGCCCCCTCTAAATATTGGGTGCGGAGGTACGTTTATGGTACCGTTAGCTCCGCACCCTCTGCTCATTTGCTCCGCACCCAATATTTCCCACAGGCTCTGTCTGCATAGGGTGTAAATGACAATGCTTGATTGTAGCAATTGTGCATTGAACACACCAGTTGATTTTACATGTGTGCTTACTTCTTACACATATGTTTGAAGATCTATTGGATTTAAAGTTCTGAACTCTTAATTCTGTTTCAATTTTATTGGATTATTTAATTCTACCAGTTAAATGGCATTAAAGATTATAGTCAATATTTTCAATACTCTCAAGCCAAAATCAATATATTATCCAATACTAATTTCACAATATACATTGTATCGTTTCAATTATCCCATCATTAGCCTTTGAAATAATATTTGTGGACCTTTATATTGTTATCTAATATTTTACAGATTTGGTAAGGCTTCCCTACCGATGTAGCGTTGTTTATACCTTAGGGTATGGTGAATTTGACACCTCTAGAGTCTAGTGATACAATCACAATAAGGTCCCATGAAGGTGATATTGAAGCAGTATCAGGCGTAACTGGAATACGTGAGGAGTTATCATCTCTCGGCAATACTTGTAGATCGTAATTGGATTATTGCACGTGCAATTGTCATTAATGTGAGAAACAATAGGATATAAGGTAAATAATACACGTAGCAGGGCTCTCACCAGGAATTATTTATGTTGTGGTAGAACATTTTCAGTACAGTATTCCAGTCACAATAAATCATGTTTTTTATCACATTTCACTTAATATGATTGTGTTTTTAGTCAAATTCAGACTGGCATCAATCATGGCTATTCAATGGGCTGTGGTTTGTGTTGAATAGAATGTGGTGCGTTTCACAAACTGAAAGCCAAACAAGAGCTCAAGGTGTAAAAATATACAATCACAAAATGCAAATTTGCATGTATGAAATGGATGGTGGGGAAGGAGAGTGGGAGTATTTTCGAGAATTGTGAGATTATGAAATCACATATTTAATTAAAATTTATTCAAACTTTCTACCTGCTTATATGTTTTCATATTGCTTGATGAACTCCTTGTTTTGACACCTAATAATCTCACGATTAAGATGAAGCTCTCTTTTAAAGAGCCGAAATTAAACTATTGGGAAACTATGTACAATTATGAATTCATGGTTCGTGTAACGTATGACCATTAATTCCAAATTGAATATAATTTCTCTTTCCCATACAACTCTCGTTTGCCCATTTTCTATTCATTTCTAAACAAATAATGTTGATTGTTCCAAATATTTGGCAAAGTTGTTGAGCATAGATTACCACAGTACACTTAAGCTGACTAAACTTATAGCTGTTATGAAGTAATGACCCAATAATCAATGTATGTTTCACTTGAAAGTAAATTTAAGTTATTTCATTAAACATATTATGTAATACTATTGTTAGAATATAGCATATTGCAGTAATTACGCACAGTTTCAAATCCATATTTACTGAATTAATAGGTTATAATTTGCTTGACACTTTAGTCCTGGCGTCAAGTTCTGATATCTGATATCATAACTTCTGTATTCTAAGGATAGGAATAGCACGGAGAATTTTTACTTGGAATTGAAAGTTTATACAAATTTTTCTTTTGGAAAGAAAGGTAGGCCAGTTTACATGTAATGTATGTGTAGATTTATTTCATATAGACATCATGGTAAAATTATATATGCAGAATTAAATGATACTGGCAAAATTGAATTGTACCAATAGAATTATTCTTACATGATTTTGAAGTAAACGTTTTTTACTACAGTTTAAGTTCATATCCGATGATAAATATAACATGGGTTTGTTTAGTGCAGAATTTTGCTAATTTTATTAAGTGACAATCTGCACATAGTTAACATTTCCAGGTGAATAACCCATGCTAACTATCATCTATACTACGTGCCTGTTTTGAAAATGATTTAACAGCATCGGTGAATGTTTAATTATTTTTACCTTTAATTGTTTAGAAAATATAATCTGCGCTACATGCGTTTAAACATGGATTACATTGAAAATTGAGAATAGGTTAGAACGTGCTTTCATCGAGGTATTGTGTTATTGATGTTGAAAATACATGTAGTAAATACTGCGTGTACATTTTGTAGCTTGCTAGATATCATGAATGGATTTTATTAGCTTGTTTGATAGTTTTTTAATTGCTTTATAATGTTATAATAATTATATATCCAGTGATCTGATTGGCCCATCAGTCATAAAATCCTTGAAGTTGTGTTTACATGCTGTGTGATATAGAATCCATACTAAACTGACATTATCCATCATTTTTATGTTACCACCACACGTAGTGACATATTGTTATAGTCTCCAACTTTTTTGTGGAAGGTGTTCGGCGTTAGTTGGTTGGTGGATGGTGTTCTGCATCTGTAACAAATGGCAGGTAGTGACATTTTGCATGTTAGTGGCTGTTCTCTCACTCTCTTGATAGTTTAGCTACAAGCCCTTGTGAGTCCCCTCCCCCTACTACTACACACCTGTCCCCACAAATGAAATCTCTTGTTTGAAATTTCTATGTCCAATATCATTGAATTCAAGCATTAATCATATCACTGACTATTTCCAATATTTGACTAAAATCGTATGAAGTATAACTAACATTGATTGTCCAACCCCAGTGACCCAAATATTATTACCTCTTACTATGACAAATCACTTTATTTGGGCATTCAATCACTGGGCTACACTAATACGTTCACAATTAAAAGAACTGTTTAGAGATGACAAGTTCGGATTGGTTTGGCAGGTTCAGAGTTTATCAATAATGTAAATTATGTGAGAGTGAGACTATGTCAGTTCTTTACAAAGGGTATCAAGAAATGTGTCCAATTACATATTTTACATGCTTATCTCACTTTCCCTGTTGCATCCTTAACAGAACACTGATAATCTAAACCCACAATATCAAATTCTGCATTGTTTCCCATATCTATTACATACACCAAATTATATGAACATTGGACTCTACAAGGAAAACATTCATTTCTGTACAGTGTCTAATTCATATTCGAAATGATTTGTATTTTATAAGTTTTGTTAGAACACATCAAATGTTTTTATGTTTTTCTTCTTGGGGGACTTATTTTCAAGGACATACACCTCTAATATAATAAAGGACCATGGATATTAACATTAAGGGAAAGTGTTCAGTGTTGATCTCAATAGAACATCCATACATTGATGCTCTAAAGGTAGTATTAACATTGGGTTTATCATTCTAAAATAAAACACATTTAATTGTGTCTATTTCAATGAAACAATAAAAGTAATTATTTCATTAGAAATAACTTTGATCAAATTCTGTATTTCAAATGTTATTATGAATTAACAATACTTTAGCTTGTTCATTAATGAAACTTTATGCATGACAAAGATGAATAAGATTATTTTTATGTATCTCAGGATTCTAGCTGTAGTACCAAAGCCTATGAGGGTGTAACCCCCAACCTGCGTATAAACATAGATGAAAACGGAGATCATCACTCCACCATGACTGATGATATATACACACACAGCAGTGTCCTCGACAGAATAAGGGTATGTATTTTTAAAACTTGTTATAGTTATCAGGGGTCGATCTTAAAACTTACAAGGGGGCCCACGTTTCAGGTCTGATAAAAAATTTGGAAAAAAAGTTTCGGCCAATCAAAATCAAAAAATGGTGCCCCTCACCCCACAGATTTGCCAGTGTTTATAATAAGAGCATATACAATATGAAAAAGACGCCATATCATATGGAATGATGTACAGACATTTGACGAGTGAAATCATTATTTACCCCCCTCCCATATAATCAAATTGATTCATTCAAAACTGCTGACCCTCTCTAACAGCGCTAACGAATTAAGGTGACTTCCATTGAAAGTAGTTGGTTTTAAATTAACTTGCCACTTATTTGACCACTGGAAAAGGTCAATTCGAACATTGTCACAGGCCTAATTGCAAAAAGAAGGGGGGGGGGGGGGGGTAAAATGTGTCACTGTCACACTCCCTTGAAACATAGCATAAGGCTAACTGCTTTGGTATGAAATAACATGTGATTTATTTGTTTGTAAGATTCACAAAACATCATCTTTTGTCTTCAGGGACATGATTGTCAATTATGGTGAAGTTTCTAATTAGATCCATAGTTTTAAGTAGGGTTTCTTCTATTAATTCTCTACATAAATTAGTCCAATGAGTCATTTCATTACTGTCTTTATGTCCAAAATAACTAGCAGTTAATGGTCATGAGACATATTAGGGTATTCATTTGGGAAAACCTGCACATATGCGGTTCAGTAACAGAATGGATTTGAGAATTTGGATACTATTTAGTCAATAAGTTGTCTTGTATCAAGCCATTGCAGGCCCACCTCCCACCTTGATATTTTATCATATTCATCATGCATATCTGGGTAGAGACTTTGATACAAGACTATTCACAATCAAAATGTTTATGTAGCATGACTTAAGAAAAAATTTGCATGACTTAAGAAAAATTCAGAAATGATCAGTCACTATTCATTGCATCAGGTTCATGTAACACAAATGAGTTAAAAATACATGTACAGTTTTACTTTGATTTATTAAAGATAGATGTCATCTGAGTAAATTGAATGTTTATTAATGCAATTGCGATATGTTGGGGTGTGTTCTGTGCCAATGTTTACAAGTGTTCAGTTCTAACAATCCCAAGCCTCCCAGGAGGTAATTAACAATTGTACAAAATAATGAACCCTTGGCACTAAACTTGATCGACCCTCATGTTAAACCAAGCTCAGTAAAGATTTGAATAGTTGAGGTGACTGTGGGGTTACTTCAGCAATTATATAAACCCATAAACGTAATTTGACACCAATAGTCAAAGGAAATATATAAATTCTGTTAGTTATGAAAATATATAAATTCCTATAGTTAGCTAACAATGGAGATTAACACCAAAGATTATTGATTATTTACGTCAAATAATTGATTTAGTGCCAACCAAATCAATCTTCAGGGTTCGTACACACCTGGAAATGTCAGGGAAATTGATTTATTTTTCCAGGTGCTGGAAATGTCAGGGAATTTTAAAATTGGGTCAAAAAGGGCCAAAAATATCAGGGAATTTTGAAACAGTAGATGTGTCAGGGAAATGTCAGGGAATTTTGTATGATTGTTGAAAAAATAATGTTCCAGCAAAATACATTTTAAGGTCAGGGTGCATGATGGGAAATTTTCTGCATTCCTCAATTGAGTCACATGTTATTTTTCAAACAAGAATCACTCCTTCCCTTCATTGTCTTTATCTTCCAGTTTTGCACAAAGAGTGCACTTATGTGCCTAGAAAAGACTTGTGAGGAGAATGTTTTGATAAAGTGTATAAAAAACAAGAAAATTCAGTGATAAAAATCAGAAAATTTTCAGAAATTTTTTTCACTGAATTTTCTCATTTTTTATACATTTTACAAAACAAACCTTCTCACAAGGCTTTTCTAGGCACAGAAGTCCACTCTTTGTGCAAACTTGGAAGATGTAGACAATGTGGGGAAGGAGTTATACATGTTTGAAAAATAACATGTGACTCAATTGAGGAATGCAGAAAATTTCCCAACATGCACCCTGTCCTTAAGGCTATGACAGGATATCAATGAAATCCAAAATCAAATATTAAGTTGTTTCTACTAATTGTAAATCTTTTCATTAGGGTTGATTGAATGACATTAAATCTGGTTCTGTCTATTTGTAATGACAGTGTGAACATTATACTGAAACCGAATAAAGAATATATATAGATGGTTCAATACAATTATGCTTTCCATGTAGTAAGTCAGTCTTAATCCATTCAAAATCCGAGAACTCTTTACAGTTTAAAATTGTATTTATATTAAGGAGCTGTCTGTTCGACAGACCGGTCATATTCAGTCTATTTATCTATCAGGGTGGTAACTCAAATATCAGTTGACAGATTTGGTTAAAATTTTATTTACCAATGCTTTTGTTACTGTATATAGAGCCTCTGCCCAAGAAGCCACTTGCCATTTTCCATATAATGTTCACAATGATAGTATTCAATAAAATCTTTCATTAGGTGGGAATTGCCCCTCAAGAGAGTTGTTATTTTTCTTAAGATCAACATTTTGAAGTTTCAGTTTTTATTTAGATTCATTACAAAACATTAACAAATTATAGTTTGAAATGCTTAGAATGCACCATATACAATTGTCAATTTTGAAAAATACCTGGGATGAACCCCCGTACCCCCCTTTTGGTTTTCCTTCGCTCTCAGTGATGCAAACCCCAAAAGATGCACCCCCTTGACACTTGTTGGCTATGCCCTTGTACATTTATGTTTACCTTTGGCCTTATGCAATATAAGTATGTTAAATTGGGAATATAATGTTTCAGGAATAAATTGGTGAATAAGACAGCCTGTAGAAGTAAAGTTAAGGCATGAGAAATGGTACTAAAGGACAAACCCAAAATGTTTCAAAAAAGTCTTGTCTTTCAAATTATACAGTTGTTAGTGTTACACAGAATATGGCATATTCATGGTTGTGCGATATTTGTGATACTGGTGAATATGCCATACTCACCTGAGGTATATGCCATTCCGCAGGTGAGTATGGCATATTTCGCAGTGAATATGCGATACATTGATTTCACTGAATACTACATACTCACTGCGGAATATGTTGTACTCTCCTGCGGAATATGGCATACTCAGCTGCGGAATATGCCATATACCGCAGATGAAAACGGATAGTGTCATTGGTTAGTGTGTATGCCATATTCCGCAGGTGAATCTGGCATATACCGCAAGTGAATATGCCATATTCGTTGCGGAATATGACATATATTTATATCTTGTTTACCGCGTAACAGAGACTTTTTAGAGGCCGTGCGAGGAAAACTTGATCTGGAAATTTCCTTTTTTGCCTGGAAATGTCAGGGAAATGTCAGGGAAATTCATTTTGAAAAAGGTGTACGAACCCTGATCTTAAATTCATTTGGATTCTTGCTAAACCAACATGTGCACGATTTTATATTTCACAAGTTAAAATCATATTTTTAGCAATTTTATAAATGCGATAGTGTCTTGTTCCTGACTAGTCATTTGTGGATTGCAGAAGGAAAAGATTATGTAAAATTATATAGTTACATGTATTTTAGATTATTTTATGAGCAGTGTTTTTTATAGGTTTATATGGCACATACGTTTATAATTGCTGCCTTCAAACTAGTTTGATCACATTTTGAAAATTGTCTTAAAGGAATATTCCTTGCCAAACCATCTCTCTCCTCATGTGATAGCTATAACCATATATATGCTTGCCATGTTTAGCAAAACACGCAAAAATGTTTTGATATGGTCAAATTTGATCACTTAGAAATGTGATGCTCAATTCCAGTTAGCTGCCATCTTTTAAAATTTCACACAGGAAGTGATGTCAGCGACTCTCAACTTTGCATATAGCATTAGGTGAGGAGCTATTAAGAATTACAAAACCAGCTAAATATTTTTTTCAACTTTGTATCTTATTTAATCCTTCTGAAAATCTCATCTTTTATTCTAAGTTTACAAGCCCCGAAAATATTTTTGCACAGAAAGTAATGATCACTTGTCTAGAAGTGATTTTGTGCTACTTTCCTATGCTGTTATGGGCAAGGTTATAGAAGTTGAGAGTTGATGACATCACTTCCTGCAAGAAATCTTAAAAGATGGCAGCTCACTGGAAACAAGTACTAGATTTTTAAATGATCAATATTGACCATATTAAAACATTTTCCCATGTTTTGCTAAATATGGAAACTATATACATGTATATGATTATAGCTACCATATCAAGAGAGAAAGGGTCTGGCAAGGAATATTCCTTTAAATGATACATGTGTGTGTTTTGAAGCATCATAACTCCAAAGTACTACACTATAACATATATAAAGAACATGTATGCTGCATAACTTTTTACAAAGTTTAAGACTATATTTTTATTCTAATTTGGTCTCATTAATTCACTTCAAGTTTAGAAAGATCTATAAACATAAACAAAGTTGAGCCATAGCTCTGCATAAAACATTGATGTTTTCATTAATGTTTAACTAAGAACATTCTATAGGGCTTCAGGATAAAAGCTGGAATACTTCGGAATCAAACAGTCTAAATCTGAATCAATGATGCTCAAATCGAGTGGAAAAAGTAGATCTTTAACCTGAGGTTGGATTAAAAGCCTATAGTTTACTGGCTGGAGCAGTGTTAAAGTTTGAATTTAAATTTCTGGAGTGATATTATTTGAAAATACAGGAGATTGGCTGCATTGGTATGTACTTGTTTTTAATTTTTAAGGTTAGATGTTGAGATTTAGAATATTAAGCATATTTTAAAGGTTGAGTGTACTTGAATTGAAATTTTTTTTTTTGGTACTTGATGAAAGTGGTTACAGGGCTATTTATATGCAGCTTCTGTATACATATCTAGTGTATATACATGTAGCATTTTAATTTCTTTCACTAAACTCACTCCTAAACCTTGAATTATTTCAGAAAGTGCATTTTACATGTTGAGCTAACATCTT